AAGAAATAATTGTGATCTGGATGATCCACGTCTATTTTACGCACGTAAGACGATTACACGAGACAGTAGGACAAATTTCTATAATGGAGATAACTTTAAAAAACATGAAGTGGAAACGTTCAGAAAAAGAGACCGAGATAGTAGGAAACAATATATATTGTATTCTATTTCATTCTCTCGCAAGAAAAGTTGTAAAGATGTATATATTTGTCCCTTTTTAATGTCGCTTTTTCGTTTCAAATCAGAACGATTTTAAAAAGTTTTTACTTCAAAAACCTAAAGCAAAATAACGCAGGTAGTTTTCAGGAGATGTTTGAGCAATCGGTGTCATTTTGAAGGGCGGAGTCGCAAGGTCGTTCCCACTCCGCTAGATCGTAGCTAATATTAAGTCGCTTGCGCAATCCTTCAGTCTGTCGGAGCCGTGTGCCGCAACACCTCGAGTTTTTATTTTTAAACGGCTCTTAGTTTTACTACGATTTTTATTTAGCATTAGAGGTATAATTTTTACGTATACTCTTGTATTTACGAGTTTAATTTATTTCAATTATATCTCTAACTTACAAAAATTTAGATAAATTGACGTAGATAATATTATACATTATTTCAATAGATATACTTTACATATGTAGTTCAATATTCTTTTTATGATTGGGGCAACGCAACGTATAGCGCGTTCTCCTTCTAACTAACAATAAAAGGACACTATTAGTTATTTTATTTTTATAGATTAAGGGCGACACGCGCTCCACTCGATGGCTGCTGGAGCCATAGATATCTATCCATGATTAAGAACCAAAATGCAGATACCTTGCTGCTAGAACTAAAATTGAATGCCTCATCATTATCATCATCATTACAGCCCTTCACAAGTCCACTGCTGAACATAGGCCTCCCCCAAGTAATGCCACAAAGCACGGTCCTGAGCCACCTGCATCCATCGACTTCCTGCATGTCTTACCAGGTCGTCACTCCATCTAGTGAGGGGTCGCCCTACACTACGCCCGCTGGTACGAGGCTGCCACTCGAGAACCTTTCTTCCCCATCGGTTGTCGGTTTTTCGAGCTATATGGCCCGCCCATTGCCACTTCAGCTTACTAATCCGTTGGGCTATGTCGGTCACTCTGGTTTTACTGCGGATATCCTCATTTCTGAGTCTATCACGCAGAGAAACTCCGATCATAGCCCTCACCATAGCTCGCTGAGCGACCTTGAGCGTCCTCATACGGCCAGCAGTGAAGGACCACGTTTCTGATCCATAAGTCATCACTGGCAACACGCACTGGTTGTACACTTTAGTTTTCAGAGATTGAGGTATACCTGACGAGAAGATGTGTCGTAATTTCCCGAACGCTGCCCAGCCGAGTTGAATCCGTCGATTGACCTCTCGGTCGAAGTTGGACTTACCTAGTCGCACTATTTGTCCCAGGTAAACGTACTCGTCAACAACTTCGAGCATAGTGCTCCCAACAACTACCGGCATAGGTGTGACATGGACATTAAACATGATCTTTGTTTTGTCCATGTTCATCTTAAGACCTATCCGTTGGGAGACACCATTGAAGTCATTGAGCATAGTGCTAAGGTCCTGCAGCGATTCTGCCATAAGGACTATATCGTCGGCAAATCGAAGGTGAGTGATGTACTCGCCATTGATGTTAATACCGTATCCTTTCCAGTCCAGTAGCTTGAAAACGTCTTCCAACGCAGTGGTGAAGAGTTTCGGGGATATAACGTCACCCTGTCTTACACCTCTCTGCAGTTGGATAGGTTTCGAACTCTGGTTCTGTACTCGGATAGCCATCGTAGCCCTACTGTACAAACACTTCAGCACTTCGATATACCGACAGTCAACTTGGCACCGCTAAAGGGACTGTAACACCGCCCAAATTTCGACGGAATCAAAGGCTTTCTCATAGTCCACATACGCCAGGCAAAGTGGCAGATTGTACTCTTCGGTCTTCTGTACAATCTGCCGCAGGGTATGTATGTGGTCTATGGTACTGAAGCCTTTTCGGAAACCGGCGTGTTCGGGAGGCTGGAAGTCGTCGAGTCTGCGTGCGAGACGATTCGTAATGACTCTCGAAAACAGCACGTAGACGCGGCTCAGAATGGAAATCGGTCTGTAGTTCTTCAAGAGAGCGTTGTCGCCTTTCTTAAAGAACAAGACCACCGCACTTCTGCTCCACGCCTCCGGAGTGGTACCACCATGGAGGACGGAATTGAAGAGCTTCTGAAGTTTCTCAAGTACCGGTGTTCCACCCGCTTTCAGAAGCTCCGCTGTAATTCCATCCTCGCCTGGGGCCCTGCCGTTTTTAAGGTGCTTGAGAGCCATTCTAATCTCGCTCAGACTGACGTCCGGGATATCATCGGAATAGTGTCGGGTAAGACTTGCTCGTTACTCACACTTACGTGTGGCTCCAACGATGATGTGTACAGCTGCCCATAGAACCTCTCAATCTCACTCTAAATCTCGGGTGTCCCGGAAACGATGCTGCCACACTCAGTCTTCAGCTTTGACAGTTGGCTCTCTCTGGCAGACAGATCTCTGGCAAAGACTTTGGAGCCCTGGTTCCGCTCGATCGCTTCTTTAATATGAGCAGTATTAAGGTTGCGTAAGTCTCGCCGCACGCATTTGGAGATCTGTCCGTTCAGTTGCCTGTATGCTGTCAAATCTGTTGACGATTGCAGCCTCATCTCCCGTCTAACAGCCATGAGATTAAGAGTGTGATCGGAGAGTTTTTGTGTTCTTCTGCGGTGGGTCTTGCAGAACTTAGCTCCGACCGCATGGACAGTTTCCACGAGCTTGTCATTCATATCGTCCACTGCATTGCAATCTTCTAGGCACTGAAAGCGGTTACGTAACTCGAGCTGAAAAGTCTCGGGATTCTGGATCAGAGCACGAGGGGGACGGAGCATTGACTTCATTAGACGAGACCTCTCCAACTTAACGTTTAGGTTCAGTGTACCTCTAACCATTCGGTGATCGCTCCCGGTTTTCACTCTTGCGATCACTGAGACATCACTGAACAGTTGGCGTCTGGTCGTCATAATGAAGTCAATCTCATTTTTTGTCGAACCGTCGGGGCTCGACCAGGTCCACTTCCTGTGGGGCCGCTTGTGGAAGAAAGAGTTCATCATAAAGAGTCCCTCTTTCTCCATAAATTCAGCCAGCTGCTGGCCCCTACGGTTCCGTTGCCCTACTCCAAATTTCCCTAACTTCAGCTCACCGCCTTCTCTTGTGCCTAGTTTTGCGTTGAAGTCTCCCATCAACACCGTGTATATCGTCATACATTTCCTCCACCTCCTAATCGCGATGTGCCGAGGTTGGTGCGTAGACCTGTATGACCTTCAGCGAATACCGTTTGGTGATTCTGAGTATCAGGTACGCGACCCTCGTCGACACACTCCCAATCTTTACAACGTTGTTGACGAGACTTGTGGACGATAAATCCGACACCTCCTTGGGACAGATGGTCGCCCTCCCGGTGATAGAACAAGTTGCCGGACTCGAGGATTACCGTGTCCTCCCCCTCTCTTCGGCCCTCAGATAATCCAATAATATGCCAGCGCAACTTGTCTACCTCTTCTTCCAGCTCCAGTATCTTCTCGTCAGTCCTCAGGGTGCGTGCGTTATACGTTGCCAGGTCGAGTCGTCGTAGGTGGCAACCGAACCTCCACCGGAGAATGCCTCATTTCCATTAAAAAAGGGTTTCCGGTTCTCTACACTCACCATACGAAACACAACACTATTACGCCGATATTTCACGCCGATAATTTGTGAGAGCATGTTCCTTCCACAGTTTAAGTCAAAATGACTGTGACGCCACGAAACTTAAGGACATCTAAAAATTAAGTGGAGTTTGAGTATTTGGCCAATAGACAATATTTATAACTACCGATCCGTCCCGACTTTGCCTGGATAGTATCTCTTAATATGGCGTTGTTATCTAAGACTTAATAACTTTTACAACTTTTTTGGATATAAAAGTTAAAGTTAAAGTTACAGTCTATATACGTCCCACAGCTGGGCACAGGCCTCCCCTCATTTCTGAGAGGGTTTTATGTCAAAGAAGTGTCCGCCGCGCCGCCCAAATGCGTGTTGGCGAACTTCAAATGTCATCGAAATTTTTTTCTTATTTCTCAGGCATGCAGGTTTCCTCACGATGTTTTCCTTCACCACCGAGCACGTGGTAAATCAGCACTTAAAATTTCCATTAGCAATTTCATTGGTGCCGGCGGGGATCGAATCCCGGTTTGCTCGCGTACTGAGAAATTTACAACGAGCGCTAACCATCTGAGCTACCACGGCTCTTTTTTGACATATTATATTATACATTTTGGATATAGTTTATCAACAATCTAGATCTTAGATATATCTCCTGGTATTGCTCTCTATTTGTACGTAAAGATTTTTTTACATTCGTTTTAGCCATTTCGAATATTAGCCCGGTAACACAGACAAAAATTTTAATATATGTTATTCGTATTATAATGGTCATAAATACAACTAAACCCCTCAGCTCAATTTAAGGCAGTTATACGTGGTAGAGCTACGCTGCAGCTATACTATAGTTGTAGCACGAATGCATCAGCTCGACCGGGGAAGGACCACGCTCTCGCAGAATACCAGCGTAAAATAGCAACTTAATACTGCTGTGTTTTTTATAGTGAGTGTAGAGATCCGGAGGCCCTATTTTACTGGAAACGAGGCATTCCATTTTAGTCCTCAGGAGTGACAACGCATCTGCATTTTGATTTTTAATTGAAGTTAAACGTAGATGTCTATGGGCCACAGCATCCACTTACCATCAGGTGGTCTGTGAGCTCGTTTGTCACCCTTAATGTTTAAAAAAAATAAAGTTATTTAAATTTTTCAGTCAGACATTTCAATTTTATTCATGTGTATAGAAGAGACTTACTCGTAAGTTCATAAATAGATTCCCGACGAGACCCTGTTCACGTTGAAGCTCTTTTAGGTAAATTATGTTATATTGTTGCAGGAGACAATACACAGTAGCGGTGGTAAGGTGACCAGCAGCACCAAGGTCGAGGAGTTCGACTTAGAGCGGTGCTGGGACGAACGCGTTCTACGAAAACTTGTAAGTTCTATTGAATTTGACAATGATTTTTTTTAAATAATTTTTTTTGTGGAATATATGACTAACGAGTACACAATCCACCTGACGGTAATTAGATGCTGTCGCTCATAGATATCTGCAAGTGTCTTCAATTAATAATCAAAATGCTTCGACATCAAAAGACTAAGACGAAATGCCTCCTTTTCATTAAAAGTGTCTCCGGTTCTCTACGCTCACCATACGAAACACAGTTGCGTTAAACTGCTATTTTACGCTAGTATTCGGTGAGAGCGTGGTCCTTCCCCTTCGAGCCCATTCATTCTACAACTGTAACACATCTGCAACGTGGCTCAACCAGAAGTCTTTATCCCTTACAAAGTTAAAACACAAAATTATAAAATCGAGCCGCTTGGTACGGATTCACTTTTATACGTGGTAGAGCCAAAGCGTAGCTATATGTGCAGCGTATCGTAGCTGTATATTATGGTTGTAATACGAATGGGTCGGCTTGAACTTTGAAGGATCACACTGTCACAGAATACCAGCGTTAAATAGCAGCTTAATTACTGCTGTGTTTCGTATGTAGATATCCGGAGACCCTTTTTTACTGGAAACGAGGCATTTTATCTTAGTCCTCAGGGGTGACAACGCATCTGCATTTTGATTCTTAGTTGAGGATAAATGTAGATGTCTATGGGCTACTGTATCCACTTACCATCAGGTGGACTGTGTGCTTGTTTTTCACCGTTAATCTCTATAAAAAAAACTGTCACTCGTAAGACTGCACGTCAGAAGTTAAAACTTCTAAGGTTCACAAACTTGTAAACATTATTTTTGGGTAGTAAACAAATATTTAAAAAAAAAATATTTCTATTAGAAAGTATTTTTACAGCGCATTAACAAAGCAATAAAAGATTTCAAATATTGCCCTGTTTTACCTGAAAGTTAATTTATAAATACAAAAAATATAAAAATATAGAATATATAACATATCAATTTTATAAAATTCAATCAGGACAGGATTTTCAATCAATCCCAAAAGTGCCCACCGTGCCTGAAGAAGTTTAGTCTTTACCCGTTAGTCTAGCTCGCTTAGTTAAACACTTAAATATTAAGTCACCAGCAAGCTTAAGCTGCACCGTACGGATTCACTTTTACTTTCTTTATGCCCGTCAACGTCAACGGTGAAAACGGCCTAATGTCACAAGTCATGGACGGTGACCACAAGTTATACTGTTTTTTTTTTTGTTTTGTTTTTACTTTACATAATTGAATATTATTAAATTTTATTTTAGATATTTGTGTTAAATATAATTTAGTTAAAACTATTTTTGTGCAGTGATAGCTCAGATGGTTAGCGCTCACTGTAAATTTCACAGTACGCGAGAGACGAGAGGGTTCAATCCTCGCCGGCACCAACGAAATTGTTAATTGCAACTTTAAGTACTGATTTACCACGTGCTCGGCGGTGAAGCAAAACATCGTGAGGAAACCTGCATGTCTGAGAAATAAGAAAAAAGTTGGTTGACTCTGCAGGCCATCTCTGGAACTTCCCACTAATTTCAAATTGTGGCCGTAGAAGGAAAAGGGGAGATCTCCCGCCGGGCAAGGTGTTCTGCCCGGGGAGCGGCCAACACTCCGTGTGATAGTTCGGAAATGTTCTATATATGCTGTTTATGATTCGGAATATTGATAGCGTGATTTAGGCTTCGGTGTGTTTTCGCTTGCGGCGCGATGACAGCGCCGCCACGTCACCCCCCTGCTCAGACCGGAGGTCGATAGTGCAGTCCGATTGCCGGTGGGGAATGCACGCTGTGTGCGTAAGGGCAAGTGACACCGGTGCGAATGATATGCCGATGTGTAATGCAGCCGTACTACGCACTGGCAAGTGATGCCGGTGAGAACGATGTGCCGGAGCAAGTGCCAAAATCTGCGGTGAGTCGAGATGAAGACAAGTTGGACTGGCTTGCAGGAACTGCAGACTGCAGAATACGATTCTCAGTAGTGAATGGTAGGGGTTCTTGAGGATAATGACGAAGCTTGAAATTGTAGTTTCCGAAGGTTGTTGGTTGCGTGTTCAGATCACGTCGGGTGGTCACCACTGTGGCTGTAGAAGGAAAAGGGGAGATCTCCCGCCGGGCAAGGTGTTCTGCCCGGGGAGCGGCCAACACTCCGTGTGATAAGTTCGGAGATGTTCTATATATGCTGTTTATGATTCGGAATGTTGATAGCGTGATTTAGGCTTCGGTGTGTTTTTCGCTTGCGGCGTGATGACAGCGCCGCCACAAAATGCAAAGCGCTCCAAATTTCACTAATTATGGTAGTTAGTTATGTTAAAAAAAACTTTTTTTTCAAACTCTTTCTCCTTCGATATCTCACGAACTAATAAACCGATTTTTATTTTCTAAACGGCATTCGACGTCATTTTTTGAGGACAAACGGACTTGCGAGACAATAGATTTTTTTTAAAAGAAGACAAACAGTTGTTCATGGGCGGCGGTAATCACTTACCATCAGGTGAGCTGTATGCTCGTTTGCACCCTCTCCTATAAAAAAAAAAAAAAAAACAATGTTAAGTGGCCATATGGACACGTGCAGATAAAAGGAATAATTCAAATAGGGAATGCTACAGATACGTTGTCACCTCTGAGCACTAAGATGGAATGTCTAACAGCCCGCAATCATACTGATTATCGTATATCTTTCAGACTGGAACACAGTTATGCATGCATTGGAACACAGCTATTTTTATACGTGGTAGAGCCATGCTGCAATTATATTAGTAGTATAGTTGTAGCACGAATGGGTCGGCTCGACCGGGGAAGGACCACGCTCTCACAGAATACCAGCGTGAAATAGTAGCTTAATGCTGCTGTATTTCGTATGGTGAGTGTAGAGAACCGGAGACCCTTTTTACTGGAAAAGAGGCATTCCATCTCAGTCCTCACGGGTGACAACGCATCTGCATTTTGATTTGTAATGGAAGATAGATGTAGATGTCTATGGGCCGCAGCAACTACTTACCATCAGGTGGACTGTGTGCTCGTTTGTCACCCTATCCTATAAAAAAAAAATGTGGCGGCATAAATAAAGATAGATAAGAATAATTAAGTTAGTTACTACCACGATGTATGGTTGAATCTATTACAAAAACTTATGTATTTCTTTTATAGCATTGGTGACAAACGGGCACACAGTCCACTTGATAGCAAGTGGATGCTGTGGCCCATAGACATCCACGTTTATCCTCAATATAAGAATCAAAATGCAAATGCGTTGTCACCCTAAGGACTAAGATGGAATGCCTCGATTTCAGTAAAAAGGGTCTCCGGTTCTTTACACTTTCCATACGAAACACAGTTTTACGATGGTATACTGGGAGAGCGTGGTCCTGCCCCGGTCGAGCCGACCCATTCGTGCTACAACTATAATTAAACTGCAGCGCAGCGTGGCTATACCACGTAAAAAAATGTATGTATGTATATATACAATTAACACCTGCCACAAAATCTCATCACTCCACGCGTTGACTAGAAGAAAATACTGTTAGGCATTAAGTCCGCCCTGTTACCCCAGTTATTAAGTTGTTAACAAATAAGATTTAAAAAAAATAAAAATCTTATCTGCAAGTAGTTTTTGTGCCACGGTATCAAGGTATCAATATCATTACAATAATTTGTTTTTGTTGTGCATTGATGTTACAGGGAAAGGAAAACAAAGGGTGAAAATGTACGATAAATATTGAAATATACTTTTTTAAAAAGGGTATAAAAATCCTTTCAGTTCATGCTAGCAAATTTATTTTTAAAATGTCAAGTAGTAAGAAACATATAATTGTATTGATTCACCCCTGAGGACTAGAATGGAATGTCTCGTATCCAGTAAAAAGGGTCTCCCGTTGTCTTAATATCGGTGTACAATTTTTTTTTTATTTCTATTGACTTCTCAATATTATACCTATATGAAATAACCTAAAATAAGATCATACTATGATTTCAAATGCAAATCAACGGCCATTTAAATCGAAACTGATCACTTCTAGTATGTAATAGTTATCAGTACAGGTGTGCTCAACCATCGGTAAATAGAGAGTACAATTTAGGCCATAATCAGTCTGTCGTTCCGCCTTCCGCTTTCTGACCACTTCCGGTGCGGGGAGGCTTCTATTTGTGCCAGCGCAATGAAAACATTTTACCGCGTATATTAGTGATGTCGATAAAGTTTATCGATGAATCATGAAATTTATCTTTAATCAGTTATAAATATGCTCGCTGTAAATATAACAGAACGCGAGTAACCCGGGTTCGATCCCCGCCGGCACCAATAAAATTGTTAATTGCAATTTTAAGTGCTGATTTACCACGTGCTCGGTGGTGAAGGAAATCATTGTGAGGAAACCTGCATGTCTGAGGAATAAGGAAATAAATTTTTCGAAGACATGTGAAGTTCGCCAACACGCATTGGGTCAGCGCGGCGGACACTTCCCTGCCCTAAAACCCTCTCAGAAATGAGGGAGGCCTGTGTCCAGCAGTGGGACGTATATTGGCTGTAACTTTACTTTTTTACTTTTAGTTATAAATATACATTTGTAATCGATCAATGATTTTAATTCATGAAATACAGATTGAAATGTCAATAAGACGTTTTAGTAGGTTTCTGTCTATTTAATATTTAATTAGTTACTTATATCCTTCGGCTATCAGGTTACACAAACTGAACGTGTCAACTGCGGAGAATAATAGATTATATACAGTGCTTTAAGTATTATAAAATTAAGAAAACTAGCTCAGCCGTATTTTAAGATACTTACTACATTAAAGCACTTGTAAAGTTACAGCCAATATACGTCCCACTGCTGGGCACAGGCCTCCCCTCATTTCTGAGAGGATTTTAGGGCAGGGAAGTGTCCGCCGCGCTGCCCCAAAGCACTTGTACTTGTACTGAAACTAAGAAATATTTTATTTATTTATTTCGAACGCCAACAATATACACGTTTCTCATTTATAATATTTTTATTGTAAAGAAAAGCTTAAATCTAACATACATGTTCATTATAGGTGAACACTGATAACACACATTTACCGAATATCAACAAAATTGCAATCATTAACAAACCAATAAAAATAAAAAAGACTTTCGTAATGGATCTTATAGTTGCGAGGAACTTAAGTGTAGTAGAGCCACGCTGCAGCTGTATTATGGTTGTATGTATGTACGAATGGTTCGGCCCGACCGGGGAAGGACCACGCTCTCACAAAATAGCAGCTTAATACTGGTGTGTTTCGTATGGTGAATGTAGAGATCCGTATACCCTTTTTTACTGGAAACGAAGCATTCCATCTTAGTTCTCAGGAGTGACAACGCATCTGTGTTTTATTTTTTATAGAGTATAAATGTAGATATATATGGGCCACAACATCCACTTACCATCAGGTGGACTGTGTGCTCGTTTGTCACCCTTATTCTATTTAAAAAAAAAGAAATTGTGCAGCGAGTCATTACAGATATCTATTTCAGTTGTTATTTTAGCAGTAATCGCAATTTTGACAATGTATTATATCCTATTATATCTGATACCCGTACTCAGTTGATAAGACTACATTATATAGCAGCTGTACTATATAATATAATTTAGTATTAACAAAGCCTAAAACAAACGTTAACTATTTATTAACGTGATTAGAAAAAAAAACTTTTTAAAAACATCGACAACCTAGGTATTAACACTAAGACGTCACCATGTCCGGATCAATTGAGTGGTCGTAACTACTGAGTATTGACGGTATTGACGACCATTGTGACGGACGCGCCGGTGTACACGATACGTTTTGTGAGCACGGAAACAAGCAAGTTGTTTCGCATAGTTTACAATAACCATGTTAGGTGCTTTCAAAGTGAGTTAATTTGTGTATTTGGACTTGGAAGCTTAAGCTGAAGAGTTTGTTTTTCATGATACTTTGTGTTATACGACGATTAAAATTATTTTTAAAGTTTTTATGGAATTTATAGACTCCTTTATTATTATTTACTTGTAAACAAAATTTAAAATTAATTTGAATTTGGGTCTGATTTAAAAGGAATTTTATTTTAAACACTTTAGTTGTAGTACGAGTGTATGTATAATATAATACTTTAATACTACGTTATTTGTTAAGCCGAACTTAATCTTGTATTTTCTTACCATACTACCAGAAAAAATTTAGATTATCATAATGGTATATCAAAATTTTAATTCATGTAAAGAATTGTACAAAATCGTTATAAAATTATACATGTCTATAAAAGATAATCCCGCTGGGTTTCTTGCTGGTTCTTCCCAGGAAAGATAACTATTGAATAAGTACTGAAAATTTCGGGAATCAAGGACGTGACACAACATTACTATTTAAAAATGTATTTATTGCTTTTCGAAGTATTCTCCGCGAAATTTGACACATTTTTCCATACGATGGAACCAATCATTGAAGCAACCATTCCATTCGGAAGTTGGGGTCTCCAAAATGGCCGTTTTGTAGGCGTCCATAGCTTCTTTAGGGAAAGTATAGAATTCATTAGGGCTTAGGTCGGGGCTGTACGGCGGATGGTCTAATAATTCTATGTTTTCTTGCTCTAAAAACTCTTTTGTTCTGTGTGCGGTGTAAGAACTCGCATTGTCGTGATGGAGGATGATGCGGCGGTTGCAGTTCTCTTTACGGAGTTCAGAAACGACCTGTGGCAAACAAATGCTAGTATACCATTCTGCATTAACCGTTCTTTGTCCCTCAAGAGGAATAGTTGTAACATGGCTGGTTTTGGAGACAAACGTGGCCACCATTTTTTTTTTTGCAACACTCCGTGAACGAACAATTTTTGTTGGCTTTAACTCATTTTCGAACACCCAAACTCGTGACTGGTTTTTTGTTTCGGGTTCGTACGTGTATATCCAGGATTCGTCACCTGATACGATGTTGTATACAGCATTTGAGGATCCTGCGTGGAATCTTTCGAGAGTTCTGACGCACCAAGTAACGCGAGCCGCTTTTTGCTCTTCACAGAGCGAATGCGGTATCCATCGTGAAAACAACTTTTTTTACACCTAATTGTTCATGCAAGATTATTTGTATTTGACTCATGCCAATGTCTAAAGTTGCCTGAATTTCGCGGTATGTCACATGTCGATCTTCCTCAATCAGCTTACGCACAGCATCAACGCTTTCTTGGGTGACTGCAGTTTTTGGACGACCTTGACGGGGATCATCACTGAGCTTGACACGTCCACGTTGAAATTCAGAAAACCAGCGATAAATTGTGGTTTTGGATGGGGCTTCATCACCAAATGCAGAAAACATCCGGTCAACACACTGAAAAAAAATATAACCAAAAAAAGGAAAAAAAAAAAAAAAAATTGTATATTTAAAAATAAAAAAATTTTTTGTGTTAAACCACTTCGAAAGTCATAATAAATCATCGCTCTTGAATTTTCTCGAGTCAATTCCATTTTCTCAACGACTAAACAAGTTTGACAAAACCTTGTGACAAGACCGAGAATCTTTTTTTAAATAAATAAATAGTATTCGATTTTTAAAACCAAGGAGTTTTCAATTAAAAAGATTTTAATATGAGAGGAACAGTGGAAATATTCCATTCCCGATACTTTTAGTGCAGCCTAGTATAATGTAAAAATCATTTCTGTCTATCGAAATGTACAGCAGAAAAAGGTTTCTCCTAGGGATTAATTCTTGGTCCATGTATGTATGTTACACAAAAAAATCGAAACAGTTCTTTAGTTATTTTTCAAGTCAAATGAAGGAATAATATATAATATAAAAATGTATAAATAATGTAGTAATTTATATAAATAATATATACAATATTAATATGTAATTTATTTAAAAAGTAAAATAGTTGCCACCCCTGAGGACTAAGATGGAATGCCTCGTTTCCAGTAAAAAGAGTCTCCGGTTCTCTACACTCACCATGCAAAACACAGCAGCATTGAGCTTCTACTTTACGCTGGTAATCTGTGAAAGTATGATCCTTCCCTGGTCGAGCCGACCCATTTGTGCTACATACATAATATAGCTGCAGCATAGCTCTACCACGTAAATTTGTGAATGTATAGGCTATTATTTTGATTTAAAATACAATTTTTAAATATAGATTGTGGATTATACGTTTTATTACAGCTGGAAGAGTGCAGCGACTACGAACAGCGACGTCGTTTACGTGCACGCATTCGCACACTCATGGCGGAGCAAGAAGGTTGGTGTTTTTAGTCATTTCACTAATTAGTTCTGGAGCAGTTTTTTTTAGAGAATCAAAAGATTTTCCTTCGTTGTGAATGAATTAGCCAATCAATTGTGAAAGAGGGAAACTTTTTGCTTATAAAGACAGAAACCGCTGCTTAAAAATACAGATATTTTGCAGAGGAAATGATGATGTTTTGTTGGTCAGTTTGGACCAACGCAATACTTTCCGAATTTACGAACTAAGCGGGAGATAGTAGAGACAAATTTTACGATAAAATATATAATATTTTTAATGTAATATATATTATATTTCTACATGTACATGCTCTTTCACTCTTCACGATCAAGATCAAGGGTAGTGAATAATTTGTGTTTTTAAAAATGTGAAAAAAGTTTCTAACAATAATTCGATAATCATTGCTGCTAACTTAGGTCAAGTAATCGTCAGCCAGAAACAACCTGATTCTCAAATTAGATTAAATTATAATTGTATTGTAAATTAATACACACAGCGCATCACCGTCAGTCGCTTTTTTTTTAAAGTCCGCAACTGGATTAATTACATGAAACAGTGTTACATACCCACTACATTTGGTAGCGGTTGGGTGAACGTAGAGACCCTAATGATACGTATGTTGTTTCAGATTGAGAGTTTAGAATTCCGCATTTTTTACATTGAAGTTCGTCAAGGTGCAAAATGATATTTTTATGATATTTGAATAAAAATACTATTTTTATTCCTTTTTAAAATTGATTCCTCAACATGATTAAAACTACTTTTACGGATTTTATCGCGTTTATTTTACTTTTTATTTTTAATTCCCGACGTTTCGGGCGCGTTTTTCGAAGTCTGCAGTTTGTGATCATATCCTAGACGGCCCCAATCATTACATCAGATTTGATAGACCACAAATCCTCGCGAAAGAACACCGATTCCTACCAAGGATGATACGTGAGGCTATTGAAATTAAAAAACATCCTAATTTCAATAGAGAAGGAGGCTGGGTACTACCACCTGCTTGGGATCCTATAATCAATAAAATTAAAACTAAACCCAAGCATACCACTGCAAGACCTCAGGACATAGTCAGTTCATTTTGCATAGATCGGACCATAAACAATAATTAAAAAAGCTGAAGGTACTCCGGGTTTAACAATGACATCGGGACGTCAGTCATCTCAGTCCCCCGTGACCATGGGTGCTGGAAAGCGCCCGAAACGTCGGGAATTAAAAATAAAAAGTAAAAATAAACGCGATAAAATCCGTAAAAGTAGTTTTAATCATGTGCAATGTTCGCGTAAATATAAGAAATCATTATGATTCCTCAACATCCATCCTTTACATACTATGAAAGGCCACAGCTGAAAATAAGTCTCTCCCACTGATTGCCACGTAGGGAGTAGTTCGTCACAGTTGCCACGCTTTGCAGGCGGGTCGGCAACTGCAATTTTTTATTATTTTATGTTGTTATCAGGAAGATGCTGCTGCCCATTACTGATTTGGTTGCCCTCTGTTAACTCTTACGCGACACCCATGGAGTAGTGGATACTCTTACAACCCCATTAATATAGTTTCGTTCAATGCAAATTATAAACGGGATAGTACGGGTTGCAGCATGCACGAGCGCAGTGACGGAGGCGCTCGCGGCGGCGGGTGAGGACGGCGAGTCGCGCGGTGAGTCTCTACTTTTGCCACTGCTGCACGGGCTGCTGGGCGCGGCACGGGGCCGTGAGCGCGATGGGGAGCAGGGCAAGGAGCGGGGCGGGGAGCGGAGCGGGCTGGCAGGCGCGGGAGCCGCCGTGTTAGCGGACGTGCGACGCGCGCTTGCCCGCTTACGTGCCGCTCTCGCCCCACCCGCTAACCACCCACAAGCGCAGGCACTGCTCAGCCTCGCCGACCGCCTGGAAGACGCTCTGGACGCGGCCGACCGTCTGGACGGATGTCCTCGCACTCGTCGCCGAAGACGCGCCTCGCGGCACACTGTCGCCGTCACGCACCAAGATCTGGAAGAGGCGCGTCGTCTCATATCCGACTCTCCACAGCAACCCGAACCCTCCTGCGAGGAGAAGGTGACCCCCACCCACACCTCTGTTGAAGCTCCACAAATGAGCCGCGAAGTGCGCGTGGTGAGACGCACGCCGGCCCCACGCCGTCCGGACTTCTTCCGACACTCAGTCGCGGACACCTTGCAGCCGGACCCCGTTCCGCGTTGGCCCGAATCCAAAAGTGGCATCGCAGCGATCGCCAATAAGTTCAATTCCAACGTCGAGAGCCCTCCCCCTCCGGTGAGGCGGGCGCCGGTGAGTCGCCCGCCCCCCGCGAGTCAACGGTCCATGGAAGAACCGCCGCGTGCCCCGCTCTACCGCCCCCCACCTCCCACATACAATTTCGCAGTACCCCCATCCGCTGACGACGTGTCCAAACCCTTGAACAGATTCAGCAACAGCAAACGCGCCCGCATGAAACGAGCGAACACTATAGACATAGGTAAGCCGCTGGGCGGTTATCACATCGACGTCGAAAACGAAGATGCCCACCATGCGCCGGCCGTACCGGAGTTTCGTCCGAAGACTGAAAATGATCGCAAGTTTCTCGCTTTCATGCAAAAGAACCAGGAGAACGAGCGCGCCTCGACTGCTGGGCCAGCAAATTGGAGCAGTCGGTTCGGTAACATAAAGAACGCATTCGAGAACCGAGAGCGGGAGCAACAGAGTACAAGATCTGTTAGTGCTTCCTCATCCTCCGCTAAACGGTTTTGGCAAGCGAGCGACGAGCATACACCAAGGCCGCGAAAATTCCTTTCCGACATTACGACAGACATTAATAGACCTCCTTGGGTTTCGCAACGCAGGGAACCCAATCGAGCGCCCGCTGCACCTCCTGTGCTACCCCCCAGTCACTCTTCCCCACTGCAAGCACCTATTCAATATACAGCAGAAAAACCTTTCATTGCAAAACCTATTCCAGTTAACCAATTTTCCCACGCCCCGATGTCACCATTTAAACCTCCTAAGAAAATTGCGTCGCCTATTTCCGCTCCTCCAAATGTGTGGAGTCCTCCCTCGTCGAATATTATTAGATCCCCGACGGCAGAAAATCTGCCCGAATGCGCATTTATGCCTAAATCGTTTGTGCCCAGTCCCCCGGTTCCTAGAGTGCCGTGGGCAACTGATAACGAAAAACCGAGAAAATCATTTGGTCAAGTCGCTTCTAAATTCGAAAACGAAAAGTTCACATCGCAAACCGCTCCACCCCCAAAACTTTACAGTTACCAACCATCAACACCTCCGACCCGTACCATATCTCCTCAAATTCGGGGTTACCCCATTAAAGCGATTCCAAGTCAGAACGATTTAGCCGCACCGGAGCTCGTGAAAAAAATTCACGAAACAAATCCGCATCGCAGCCCGGAACCTTTCCCCGAACCTGTAGACGCTCAGAAGCTTCAAATAGAGTTTTACGAGCGACAAATACGCGAAAAAAGTCGCCGCGGATCGACCACGAATGTCGACCGGAAGCCTCCTGCAGCTCCCGCTCCTCTCCCCACTTACACCGTAGTCGACTACACTCCTCCCAACGCGGCGGCCTCGTTCGTCCCTCTGCAACAGACGCCAGACATAGAGAAAGCGAAAGCGCACAAGGTGGATTACTTACCCGACGTGGTGATGAACGAACGCGGAGGCGAGGGTCCAATGACAAACGGAGACGCGGAAGATGCCACGGAGCACGACAGTGTGGAGACGAAGGTGATGAGAGGACCCGTGAGAGGTTCCGCCACCATCACAACTGGTGTGCGCACGCGCAACGGCGCTGCTGACAGCCTCAGCAGTGCACTTCACCGCCTCGCTTCCCCCAAGCACGACATTTTCCCTCAGATGGATAGACAGGCTCAGAAAGCTCAGAGAGCGGCCATATCGCCGGGGGGCTCCAGCGAAGGAAGCCCGAATGCACGCTCGCCTGCATCTCCCGCATCTTCGCGCAAGCTCGCTGTTCGCACCAAGTCCATGCACCTGTTGGCCGCGCCCAAGCTGTACGAGGGTGGCATCGCCCGCGAACAGCTGCCCGAGAAGAAGCGCACGGTAGAGGCGTACTTTTCCGGGCGGGTGGGGGCGGGGAGACCTGGGGCGGGCGGCTACGCGCTGGGCCGCAGCCGTACCGTGGCCACGCTGTCCGAGCTGCAGCTGTTGGACGAGAGCAACGCGGACGACGCGTTCGAGGACCTGGTGTCGGCGCTCGCGTAGCCAACCGAGACATTCCACTAGTTAGGAGCGGGACGAGACACGTGTGAGTCGTGTGTGTGTTTGTGTGGCGCCTGCTTGTGTCGCGTCGCATGACCCCCGCCCCTCGCCCCCTGCCCCCGCCTCTTTGTACATACATGCATACTCGTAACCTCCGATCTCATTTCACCGTTCCCTATAACTGTGTTATTTTGACTAATAGCTTTAAGATAATTAATAGAATGAGGCGTTACTTTGCAGAAATCCATTATATTAAAGATGACAAAAATCAACTTTGCTAAGATCCACGTAATAAAATAAAATGATGAGCCTTACCTACTTTGAGAACTTCCCCCGGCCTCCCTCAATTGCGTGCACTATCCCAGTCACTACTAATCTCAGCACCCCTACTCCCAACACCATTTTACTGAGGTCGTGGGAGTGGGGTTTGAGGAACTGAGGGACGGTAGGATGTAAGACGCATTATTTTATTTTATTGCGCGGATATTAGCAAGTTGATTTTTGACATCTTTAAAATAATAGCTTTAAGTATTGCGTCTTGTTTTGCTATAGTTTTTTGGAATGTTCCCAGTTGCGTTTCGCGAGATACACGCCCAAATTATAAAACGTTGTTTTGGTTTGGTTGCAGAAGAAGAGGAGATAACGACGGTGACATCCAGCGTGAGGAGAAACTCCACCGAAAAATCCGTTAGCAGCAGTACCACCATCAAAAATTCCACAGGTCTGTTTTTTTAATACACTTCTCTAATTTTGACAAACCCATAAAAATCCATAGAATCACTGTTCAATGTTCGGCGCGAAGGACCAAGATGCTATTATAATAAATTAATTTTAGTTTAGTGCTAGGAAACGTGCGTTTTTTTAATCCATATCGTTTCACAATGCTGGACAGACTTCATACAAAACGAAAATGTTTTATATGTATTCAAGCATTAAAAAAAATTATTTACAGTGATAGAGAGCATGACGCGGCCGGCGCCTAAACCTGTTTCGCCATTCGCCAAATTCCGTCAGCTTGAAAAACAAAACACAATCAACTCTCCCAAGTAAGTACTACACAAACGTCACATGGTTTAAATGTACACAGATTACAACATATTATAATAAGAGATTACAATATAATAGGTTATTATAGCAGAAATATTTTTCATACAACCAAGTATTTTATATTTTATACAGTATAATCTGAATATCTTTACTATATCAGGTTAATCGTTTCATGCTTAATATTTAATTTAATGCAACGTATGTATTTATTTTTGGCAGCTGTAACTGTGGATACGAATAAGGACAACAAGTAAATATTTATATTATGACATTTATATAACATATATTAGTCGCTTCATAAAAAATATAGAAGCACTGAAGTCGCTTACATTAAGTACTTACACGGCGGGCGGATTACTTGGCAATATAAATAATGTTTTCCGCTGTATAAGTTCTTAAAACCATTCAACATTTTACGATTGTGACTCGTTCATAATGCAATAAGACCTCGACTAAATAAACTCGCTTAGCATTTAGTTGAATTTCATCGATTTTAGCACGTCATTAATTTTTGTAAATAACCCGCGTACTCGTCCATCGCTCATAACTAGCACAGCGCGTGAATAAGCACTCGGATGTGACAGCGCACGTACTAATAGGCCAGTACGCACTAGCGATTTTAACTAGTTTTGAATTTTTGCTTATGTAATCTCACATAATTCCGTTTAAAGAAAAAAGTAAATATAATATTCTCCTTCTCGTAACAACAATTTCTGTTAAGGTTGAGGTGATTTAGCGATTTCGAATCTTTCATAATGAAATCAAATTAATTAATCGATAAGTTTAAAAATAATACATCATATACATCAATAATAAATCAGCGTTGTGTTTTCGCCACAACTCATGCTGAGTAATGACCGTTTTTTGGCACGTCCTCGATGTAAAAAGCCAAATTTATTAAATTTCGTTTTTTGACATAAATTAGTATATTGTTGTACATCAATTTTGTTTGTGTCAAAATAAAATGTTTCTTTTTTTCTTATTAATAGTGTTTTCTGAAGCAATTATCGAACATTTAAAAATTCACTTCGTTCATACACTAGTACAGTCAAGGCTAGACAAATCGTTCTACACTATTATTAACAAATTCACTCTCCTGTGAGCCGTATAAGAGTATGAAATTTTTTATTGTTTAGAAACTTTTTTGAAATCTTTGTAATTTGAAACGAGATGAAACGAAAAAGCGACACTAGAAAGAGACAAACACATACATTTATAGGATTCAGTTTGCAAGAGAATGAGATAGATTACAGTATTCAGTGTTTCTTTTTTAATTATTCTGTCATACTCTCGTTCGCTCGAAGTTAAGTTTTCTGAAGGTTTCATTCTACCGCGTGTGAACTGCAACACCATTTTTTTAACTAATGTATTTTTTACGAAACGGAAAGTTGTTAAATGTACAAAGCAAACGTTTTCTGTGAAACTACATGACACTAAACATAGACAACCGACGTAACCATAGACAACGACCGACAACGAAGTCGCTAAATCCGCTAGTGTGTGTTCGGGCCGTATCGCGTCGGTTAGTGCGGCTGCAGTGATGACTACCGTCCGCGACTAACTCTGCCCCGGTTGTAGTTCGCCCGCGAGCCCGCAGAGCCCGCGCTCTCCGTCGCAGCCCTACTTCAAGTTCACGGAGCCCGCGCTGCAAGCCAGCGCCCTCACTATTAAAGAACGGCTGCTGCACTGGTGTCGCGACAAGACCAGGGACTACGAGGTACACTGCACACCGCCCACTGCACACGCCCCGCAATCACCCAGTTGTCACTCTATAAAAATATCCACGACTTTCTCGCTCACCAGGCCCCCCCCCCCTCCCCCCAACCATTTAACATTCTATTGTCTAATTTATTATCTGCAGTTGTCACTCGCTCTTTATGTGTCACTGACAATGAGGGCATCCACGACTTTCTGCCACCAGGGTGACGCTACTTAGGATGAGATGAAATATTTGACAGATTTCATAGCGGCGCAAGTTGATTTGTTAGAAAAGTGTAGAGATTAATGTTTCTTTATAAAATATTAGTTTTATGTTAGAAATGGATAAACCAAAGTACGGATATTTCTAAAAATTGAAAAATTAAAAGATTAAAAAAAAATCGAATAACACGACACTGTTAAATAGTTTTGTGTATATATATATATATATATATATATATATATATATATATATATATATATATATATATATATATCTGGTAGAAAACGAAAACTTATAATGAAATCGCCACTTTTCAATGATTATGGACACTGTATAACAAAAGTGTCCACCTTAGTCTCAACTGAACCAACCCAAGCGACATCTGGTGGGCGTAAGATTCTTTTCAAAATTAGTTTTAAAAAAATACTTAATATTTTATCGTCTTTAAATGTTTAAAGAACTAATAATGCTTAAGCACAATCTGTGCACTGTTAAAACGTATAGTAAAAAAGTAAGAAGTGGCTTCATTCTTCACTTAAAGAGTTAGTTTCAACAGTGACATTTGCTTAATCCTGGTCCGGGGATTCCCTAGAATCTACTGGTTAGCCTGTGGTCCGGGGCGTGTGTAAGTAAGTAGGTACGCAGACGCGCTGCACGCACTGTAACACTGTCAAATCACGCAACTCATAAATCTCATGCTTCTTTTATGCTTTTTATGGCTGTGCTCTCCCTATGTATATATTAAACGTGAAATAAATATGTATTCTCATACTCATTACAGGACCAAATTCTATTACTTTGGTTTCTTATAACTTATGAATTCATCAACATCTTTTATATATGTAAATTAAAAAGAAAAACGTGTTTTATTGAGTAACGCTAACAGTTTGATTTTAAAAAAATACAAAAGAAATGTCAGTGAGAACTAACTTTAAAGTTATGTTATAATAACTTATAAACAACATGTCACAAAAACCCTGTGGTTCCTGTTAAGTGCATTATCAGAGTCAGTATTGGAACATAACAAATTACTTCAGACAATTCGACTTTAAAAAAATTAAATTTAAAAAAAAAATTTATATCCAAATTGTATGTGGTTTTAATTTTTTATAGGATTGTGGGTGACAAACGAGCACACAGACCACCGGATGATAAGTTAATGCTGTGGCCCATAGACAATCTATCCTCGATTAAGAATTGAAATACAGATGCGTTGCCAGCCTTGAGGACTAAAACGGGCTACATACGACACGATATCGGTGGCGATCTAGGGTGGAAAGAAATCGGGGCTTTTATCGGGGTAGACCTTACACACGGGCCTGCCTAGCAGTACGCGTTCGGACTTGGAGCGGAATGCATATGCGGTAGAGTTCTTCAAAATACCTCCGACTCTCTTAAAACACCACCGTGTTGGTTTGGCATTAGCCATCTCGGTTAATTTATTCGAAAATAGAAAAAGAGAAGTTGCTGGGTGAAAAAATGGCTCCAAAAGAGATAAAAATTAAGCCACATAAACGTACTAAATGGCATCTAATCCAAGGACGTGATTAATTTTCTCCGGATGGATGAAGACAGTTTTTATAACCTTCTAGAAATGATTTCGCCACTTATATAAAAACGTCAATTTCTCCTACCTATGCTATTTAGTTATTTCTTCTCTTTGTTCATTTCTGCTTTGGTCAAAATCTGGTTATGTATTACACACAACAAACAAGGAAATAAAATACTTTTGTATAATAATATGTATACTTTTTTTTTAATGTAATCTTTATTTATGGAGTAAAATTATCAGAAAATAAAATAGCTTATATCTTTTTTTTAAACATAAAGAAACCTTTAATTTCGGACATACTCCCTTTTATATAACTTGTTTGTTGATGTGGAGATGGTGAAGGAGTAGAAGTTAGTTGTTGATCAGAGGATGAAGGCACGTAAGAGATCGAAGTGTGGTCTTGTGGAGTTGTAAGAGATATGAGTGCGGTCTTGTGTTGATAGCGTTGGAATAGGAGTTAGTTGTTGAGGAGAGGCTTTATCTTCTCCTTACTTACATCATACACTCTACTTTACGAACGGCAATAAAAAAATTAGTTTAGTAGGCATTCTTGACCATGTCACTTCGCAGGGTCATAGGCTAGGGTGGATATGATTTGAATTTCGATAAAATTTCAATTAATTTATTTATTTTATTCACTTTTTTTGGTTTTTTGTAAAATATCAGTGCCATAGGCTTCTACTCCGTTTAAATGATTAAAATGTAAAAATTTTGTTATATAAAAAAGGTCATTCAGTATCACTGTTTTGTTAACTTCCTTCCGCGAGGGTTGCCGGCAGCGACTGCCAAAAGAAATCGGGCCGATGCGCCTACACACACGCAGTAAGGAGGGGGCGGTGCCCCGATCTAGGAAGCATCGGCTGATCTAGGAAGCATTTTTGCTCCTGCCAGCCGATTAAGGAGGCGATATCGGCCACGACTTAGGATGGCCCTACATACGACACGATTTAGAGGCAATCTAGGAGGCATCCCCACTACTCCACCCTAGATCGCCACCGATATCGTGTCGTATGTAGCCCGCTTAAGATGAAATGCCTCGTTTACAGTAAAAAGGGTCTCCTGTTCTCTACACTCACCATACGAACGATAGCATCATTGAACTGCTATTTTACGCTGGTATTCTCTGAGAGCGTGGTCCTTCCCCGGTCGAGCCGACCCATTCGTACTACAACCATAATATAGCTGCAGCATGGCTCTACCACGTAAAAAATTACCCCTAACTGACGCGCGCATCGGTAAAGCGGGTCTTTGACTATATACTCTTACTCCCCGGCTAATCCAGAGAAAACAAAAACATACAATTTTCAAGTAATAATTTAATTTAATTTTTTCATATTCGACTTTTCTGAAGTAAAGTTATTCCTAATCCTATATGTTTAAATACTGATTCTCATGATGCACTTAACGAGAAATACAGTTATTTTTTTACTTGTTGAATAACGGTTTTCTGTTGTACAGTGCATGAAAGTATTTTGTTGTGTTGAACCATTGATCTGTGTGTTAAACCGAACTTTTTGTTCAATATTAATCCTATACAAGTTATTTAGACAATTCAATGTGTTATAATTTAATAGAAATTAATCGCTACTCCAGTTCATATTTTGTACAAAATTCTTAATCTAAAATTGGTTTAAACTGGCTCCTTTAGTCACGTATTTTACCGAGTTAATTACTTCTCTTTTTTTTTTTGTTTGTATATATGTCACGCGATATCTATCTAAAAAGTTTTACTCTAAGCATAGAAAAAAAATATTTTTAGTTCTTTGAAATCGGCTGTTACTTGTTGTTAAAAGTTATAATTATTGTTTATCTGTACGTATATTTTATGTTAATTTACTCGGCATTTCTTTAATATGTGTATGATGTGCTTAAATCACTATATTACTTTTATGTACTTATCTTATCATGTATAAAATGTATTGCACTCGTCACTTCTTGTTACAATAATTGAAAATATGTAATTCTACTAACCGTCTTACTAAAATTATAAAGATATATATTTTTTTATAAATCAAATAATAAAGTCGCAGTACAATAAATTCCGTTCAAGTCAATAACTGCTCGGTGCCACGCTATCCGTGAATTTCTGCAACATCAGGGGACTTCACTCGAACCTAAACGCCGTCCACTACTATCTCGAAACGGCGAAGCCAGCCTTGCTCTTTCTGACCGAGACACAGGTGTCCTCTCCGGCCGATACTTGGTGTCTTTTCTACCCGGGGTACAAATTGGAACACTCCTTTATGCCTCAGGCTGGAATTTATACGTCATAGATGACATCTGTTCTCGACGCCTTGGCAATCTTGAAAGTTTGGGCCTATCCATCCTTTGGCTACACGTATACAGGGAAACCATCCGTGCCTCTATAGGGTTCATATTAGTAGTGCTAAAACAGACCGACTCTCATCGACCACGTCCAAATGGGTACAGATTCCTTGCTACAGCAGATCCCCTCCGCAGAGATCGTGATCCTCGGCGATTTTAACGCCCACCACGCCGAATGGCTCGATTCACGTTTAACCGATCATGCGGGGAGATCTGTTTATGATTTTGCCTTGGCATATGGTCTGACAAAAATGGTTACTTCGCCTCCGCGGATTCCTGATGTGGAGGATCATGCAACTTCCCTGTTGGACCTTCTGCTGACCTCTCATCCGGACAGATATCAGGCCTCCGTCGAGCCCTTCTTGGCTCTTCGGACCATTGTCTAGTCCAGAGTGTAGTGACACTCACGCTAAAATCGCGGATTCATGCTGCAGGCTGCCGCGTTTGGCAATACAGGTCGGCCAATTGGGATAGGATGCGGTCTTTCTTTAGATCCTACCCTTGGGGGCGGGTTTGCTTCTTGCCGGACGATCCCAACATTATTGCTAATTCTGTCGCTGATGTGGTACTTCAGGATATGGAACTTTTTATTCCTTTCTCTGTGATGCCCATCGGAGGCAGATCTCAGCCATGATTTAGTCGCTCCTGTAAAATAGCATCACGCTATAAGCAGGAGTACTACCGGGCCTGGGCTCACGCACCAACGTCCCGGGATCTAACACCAGCGTCCTTAAAAAGAAGTATAATTCAGCCTGCAGGACCTTCAAAAGAGTTATTGCCAAGGCAAAGTTAGAGCACATAGGCAGAATTGGCAAGAAACTAGTTCGCCAGAGTTGGCACCGCTTCTAATGTGTCTTTTCCGATACTCCTACTCCCTAGGCGTTGTCTCGAACTCATGTAAGAAAGCTTTAGTACACCCGATCCCTAAATTAGGTGACCACTCAGATCCGTCCAACTACAGGCCTATCGCTATCACCTCCTTGTTGTTCAAAATAATGGAATCCTTTATAAACTGCCAGCTCATGCTCTTGAGGATTACCAGCTGATTAGTGACCGCCAATACGGTTTTCGTTGGGGTCAATCAGCTGGTGATCTGCTGATCTACCTGACTCATAGATGAGCGGAGGCAGTAGAATCCAAGGGGGAGGCATTGGCCGTTATTTTGGACATTACGAAGGCCTTCAATTGGTTTTAGCACAAAGCACTTCTTTCAAAGCTCCCTTCTTATGGGCTTCCCGAGAAATTGTTGAATTGGATCACCAGCTTTCTTGCAGATCGGAGCATCAAGGTTGTTGTAGATGGTGCATGCTCCGATTACAAGCCTATTAATGCTGGTGTTGCACAAGGCTGCGTGCTATCACCAACGCTGTTTCTTCTGCATATCAATCATATAATGCAAACCCGTAACATTCATTGCTATGCATATGACAGCACTGGCGACGCTCTATACACCGGCCTTGCCAAATTTCTCGGGAAAACGTCGCCGAATACCGGAACAAACTTGTATCTAAAATCGAGTCTTTGCTGAACAAAGTCTCGGATTGGGGACGACTAAATCTGGTCCAGTTTAATCCCCAGAAGACACAAGTTTACGCGTTTACCACTAAAAAGAACACCTTCGTCGTATCTTCTATGTTTCAAGGCACTCCCTTTTGTTGTCTCAGCCAGTGTCGGTATCATCGGCGTCGACATATCGAGTGACGTACAGTTTCTTGGTCACTTCGAAGAGAAGGTCAAATTGGCCTCTTAAAATCTTGACGTGCTCAGCAGAGCGGGGCAGTATTTCATGCCGGCTCACCGCCTACAACTTTACAAGACGCAGGTTCGGTCTCACATGGAACACTGTTCCCATCTCTGGGTTGAGGCTCCACAGTGCCAGCTTCTTCCACTTGACTGCATCCAGCGCAGAACGGCTTGAATCGTCAACGACCTAGTCCTTTCAGATCGGCTCGTTTCACTGGCGCTACGAAGAGATTTGCATCCCTTTGCATTGTCTTTCGCATCTATCATTGGAAGTGCTCTGAGGAATTGTTCGGATTAATCACAGCCGCCAAATTTTACGAACGCACATCGCGGTAAAACTCCCGATACCATCCACACAATCTGGATGCTTGGTGGTCCACCACTGTCCGTTTCACCAGGAGTTTTTTAACCGCATACGACCTCTCTGTGGAATCGTTTATCGATTTTTCCGGACCGATACAACTTAGGGAGCTACAAGAAAAGTGCCAACTCCTTTCTAAAAGGCCGGCAACGCACCTACAAGTCTCCTAGTGTTGCAGTTCTTCATGGGCGGCGGCAGTCACTTACCATCAGGTTAGCCATTTGTTCGTTTGCCCCTCTCCTACTAAAAAAAAGTACTTCCAAAAAGTTATTCAAACACATCGAACCCGTAACACCAAATCTATAAAACTTGACTTATTTTACTAAAATTACAAAGATTTTTTTCTCAAGTTTTGATGAATCTAAATAAATTATTCGCAATACGTCCATAACACTGAAGTTTAGAGATTTTTAAATAATAGTCGAGTAATTGTCTGTCTCCCATTGTGGCTTTCTTTAAATTTACTTAATAATTATTATGTAAATTTCTTAATTATAATTAAGAAATGATCGTACCGTGGCTAACGTGAGTTTTGATAAATCAAATAATATAGTTACTGTGTTTCAATAGAACAAAAATTTCGAGATTTTTCGAATAATACCCAAGTAAGTGTTAGTTCTCCGCTGTGGCTATCTCTAAATAATGTTTACAGCTTTATTTAAATTTAAGCATGTTGAGAAATGAGCGTATCGTGTCTAACACGACTTTTAATAAAACAAATAATATATTTGTAGTACCATAAAACAAAAATTTCGAGATTTTTTGTCTTATACTCGAATTTTCCCTTTACAACTGTAACTTTGTGTAAATTTACCCAATAATTGAGAAATGAGCGTGGCCGGCGAACGCTACGGCATTAGTAACGTGCGGGATTGCGACAGAATGTGAAGCTGGAGAACTTCTCGACGAGCTGGGCGGACGGGCTGGCGTTCTGCGCGCTGGTGCATCACTTCGTGCCGGACGCGTTCGACTACAGCGAGCTCTCGCCCGACAAGCGCCGACACAACTTCACGCTCGCCTTCAAAATTGCCGAGTCAGTATATTACTCATACTCATACCTCACCACAACTCATTCTTTGATTTATTACATAATTTTATATTTTATGTTCGGTGTCGCGTTTACTACTAAATTGCCTCGTTAGTCTAGTGATCGTAAACGCTGAGGACTCGGGTTCAAATACCGGGTAGGGCCAAAGCTCAGTTATTAAATTTTTCTGTCACGAAATTTTCAGTAGTAGAGTCTGGAAGTTGAAAGCACGTGAAGCCGTAGGTCCTACGCCTGATCAGACTAAGAGAGTGAGGGAAATGAGAGTGCACCTGTGCTTACGCATACACTTGGGCACTATAATCCTGTCCTGCGCATTTATCTAGTCTCCATCGAGATTAGCCCCGATGCCCGAAATTCAGTCTGGAGAACAGTATTGTTATTATTTCTATTTATAAAATTTGTTCTTGTAAACAAAGTGAAACCATTTATATTTTTTTATAGCATAGGGTGACAAACGAGCACACAGTCCATATGATGGTAAGTGGTTGCTGTGCTCATAGACATCCACATCTATTCTCGATTATAAATCAAAATGCAGATGCGTGACAACGCACCATGACGACTAAGATGGCATGCCTAGTTTCTAGTAAAAAGGGTCTCCGGATCTCTACACTCACCATACGAAACACAGCAGCATTGAGATGCTATTTAACGTTAGGATTCTGTGAGCGCGTGGTCTTTCCTTGCTCGAGCCGACCCATTCGTGCTACAACTATACTACTAATATAACTGCAGCATGGCTCTACCACTTAAAAAAATATATTCATCAAAACATATTTCGAATTTTTCATACATAAACTTTTATCAACTGGAATTGGCCTCTCCCAAAAAATGCAACAAAGCACGACCCTGGTTACTCTTAAATAGATAAAAATATTGATGTATCATAAATAACCGATCGTTAATTAGTAAATGAATGTAAGATTTGTATAATGTTTTTGCATTTGTACGGTGTTTCAGAGAGAAGGCGGGCATCTATCCCCTGCTAGACGTGGACGACATGGTCGCCATGCGGAAGCCTGACTGGAAGTGTGTCTTCACTTACGTCCAGTCAATCTACCGACGGTTCAAGGACGAAAAGTAGTCCACGTCTTCACAATTTAACTTGAATACGTGTATTTTGCACATCTGGTGTAAGCGAACGATTGTATTAATTAATATTATTTGTGTATAGAATGAGTTCATATTTTTGTTTAGGTGCAAAATAAACGTATTCCGATTTTAAAGGACCAGGGCGTTGGATCAGTAGTTGAACGTTGATGGTCACAAAAATGTATTTATGTGTTGTTTCGGTATAATTAATTCATCCAAAGAACGTTGTTGAATTTTGTTGATGTATATCAAATGTTTATGCTCAGTCTCGCCCAACTCGCCGTTTCTCCAAGCGCTGTCTCGTGAACAATCCTCCTATTTATTCTAATCTCAAGATGTATGTGATTTTTTATATAAATTAGTTTGTAAGTTTGACTAACAGATATTATTTCGAGCGATATATTAATGTACCTAAGTAATGCATAGTGTATAGTTCTTTTTTTTTTAAATGTATTTTCGCTATTGACTTCGTGATAATATCCGAACGCACTCTCCGCGAGGATCGCCTTCACTTATTTATCTACATAAGCAAGTTGTATCCTTGCCTATATTTCAGTGTTTAGGCTGCACTGACGTTTATTGTATCTTTAACATTACTTATTTTTTTCTTTGACCATAATAATAGCGGCTTGACATAATCGCCTACTGATTTAAGAAACTGACTATTATTATTACTATTATTATTATTAAATATTTTATTTATACAATTAGAAATGAAATAAATATTATTAACAATTAATAGTTTTATTGTTTCTTTTATACATTTAAATTTTCCAAACTGTCCTTTCACAATTTTTTTAAGAAAACCATGGATAATAAAGCAACGAAGAAAAGAATCGTGGTTACGATAAAATAAACAAACATTAGTGACATTTTTAAACGGGCATCACATTAGTCTGTGTCACAGATTAATAAATATGTAGCAGTCTCTGTCAAACCGAGAATTAAACAGGAGATTATTCTTGTACTACGACTTGAAATAATAATTGGCGCTATAGAGGTATTTGTTATTTTGCCTTTTACAAATACAGTTTTAATTTTATGACAGTTAAACAATTAAGGAATCAATTAAATGTTTGAACAGGTTTAAAGTGAAAAAATACAAAAAGATTGTATTTCCAAATGTGAATTAGTCTACATTAAAGTCAAACTTTAATGAATGTACCAAGCCTTTAATAAATATACGTCAGAGGGTAGTCCTAAATCTGTGGTGAATTGGTGGCAGCTAGTGGCACTATGCGTGGAAATATATCAATAGAATGTATTTCAAATGTTAATTAATCTACATGAAACTAGTAACTCCTAAAATGTATATACTTCTACAAACTTTTAATGAATATACGTCAGAGGGTAGTCCTAAATTTGTGGTGGCACAGTTAGTGGCACTATAAGAGGATCGGCAATGTTGGTGGCTCGGTCGACCGTGGGCGGCATTTCGGCAATAGTGCGCAGCGACATGAGGCTCGGGGACGTGGGCCGCGTGGGGCTGAGCGTGGGCGTGGCGCTGGGTGTGGGGTGCGCGCTGGCGCCAGGCGTAGGCGTAGGATCGGGTAGCAGCACGTGCACGCGCAGTGAAGCGTCGCGCCAGGCGCGCCAGCCCGCCTGGTGCTCCTGCACCTTCAGCAGCATCCACGTCGTCAGCAGCCCGTTCAGTGCACCTACCGACCACACATATTTATTGAAAACATATTTATTTACCGTGTAGTAAAAATGTGAGAATATCCACTACCCCATATCATCCCGTGGGTGTCGTAAGTGGCGACAGAGGAAGACAAATTAGGAAATGGACAGCAGCGTCTTCCTAACTACGTGCTCGGCGGTGAAGGAAAACATCGTGAGCTCGTGAGGAAACCTGCACATCTGATAAATAAGAAAAAAATATTTCGTAGGCATGTGAAGTTCGCCAACGTCGTATATAGGCTGTAACTTTAACTGTTTTTACTTTTTATACAAATTTGTTAACAGCGCGTAAAAAACTGGTGCTGGAGGCGCACCCTGGCCACTAGAAAAAGGTATCGAACAATGTTGTAATCACCTACTACGCCCACATGTATAAATGAAACGTAAACTGTGTCGTTGTATGTGTAAGTGAATTAAAATACTTCTCGTGTCGCTTAGAAGCAAATTAAGTGTATATTGAAATCCGGGTGGGGTAAAGTAAAATAAACTAGAAAGTACTTCGTAAATCAATTCATCACTCATCCATTATAACCTATCAGAAATTCACTTCTGAACATAGGCCACTCCTATAGTTTGCCTTATGAGGGGATATTTGCCATTGATACTACGTTTGGCGGCCGCGTTGGCAACCATAGTTTTCATTACTTTGAACTTTTAACAAGAAGATGTTGCTCTGTTTCTGACTTATATGAATTATTTTATTCCTAAGACATGAAGGTTTTGAAGTTGTCTGGTGGTAAGGATACGAAAGTGAAAGATGAATCGCCTGGGCCAGGGATAATATGAGTAAGAAAGTGAGTGAGGAGATAACGGCTAATATACGAGAATGGAATAGGAAGGCATGCTATGCCGACTCAAAATAACTTGGGATGAAGACAAGAACAAGAAGGAGAAATGCGGGTTTTCTCATTTTTTCCTTCTTTGCCAAACACGTGGTAAATAAGCACATTTCAATTAGCTATTTGATTGGTGTCAACAGTATGGTTGCTTAACACACTGTTAATAACACTATCATAATTTATAATCTTTAATAATGTTTCCTGTTGCTAAAACTAGTTTTATTTTTGTGTTAAGTGTTCTGTGCTCGAGTTTCAGTAGAGAGAAGTACGCACCGATGAGGCCGATGAGCAGCGAGGAGAAGACATTAGCTGCGAGGGCAGCGAGGCCGCCACGAGCAGCCCCAGCTTGTAAAGCTAAGTCACACATGCGCAGTGCTCGGGACGTGCCCAGCAGCGCCACACAGCCCAGCGCTGCCCCGCGACTCATATCCGCCAACAGCGCTCGTGCTGCTCCCGCGCGCGCCCACGCCACCACGCACCACCACCACGACCACCTACACACAACCACAGAGCTTCCAGTTTAGTACTCCACACCAACAAACAAAGACAGAACATTCGGATGTGTGTTGTGGCCTGTACTATTATGTAAAAAAGGAAAGAAAAGTTACAGCCTATATACATCCCACTGCTGGGCACAAGCCTCCGCTCATTGCTGAGAGGGTTTTAGGGCAAGGAAGTGTCAGCCGCGCTGCCCCAATGCGTGCTGGCGAACTTCACATGTCTTCGAAATATTTTTTTCCTTATTTCTCAGACATGCAGGTTTCCTTACGATGTTTTCCTTCACCGCCGAGCATGTGGTAAACCAGCACTTAAAATTGCAATTAACAATTTCATTGGTACCGGCGGGGATCGAACCCAGGTTACTCGCTGTTATTGCTATTATTACTATTATGTACTAACGCGAAATCAAAGTTTTTTTCATAGAACTTTGATTTCGCGTTATCTCTTACGTATATATCAAGGAAAGGATAAGGAGATAAGACACCAATGAAATTGTTAATTGCAATTTTAAGTGCTTATTTACCACGTGCTCGGCGGTGAAGGAAAACATCGTGAGGAAACCTGCATGTCTGAGGAATAAGAAAAAAAAATATTTCGAAGACATGTGAAGTTCGTCAACACGCATTTGGGCAGCGCGGCGGACACTTCCTTGCCCTAAAAAAACCCTCTCAGAAATGAGGGGAGGCCTGAGCCCAGCAGTGGGACGTATATAGTCTGTAACTTTACTTTACTTTTAACTTTAAGGAGATAAGGGTGACCAACGAATACACAGTTCACCTGATATGAATACTGTGGCTACATATATATTAATTACGGAAAGTATTATGTTATTACATATAGCGTCCGAACCAAGGCGGTTTTTTTAATGGTGTACAACGCGGAAGTGTTTGAAGAAGGCAGCGAAAGCAATGAGCGCATGCACTACTATTTTTTCTATTTTTATATAGGTTATAAAGGTGACAAAATAGCACACAGTCAACCCGATAGCAAGTGGATACAGCGACGCAAAGACATAGAGACATTTATCCTTGATTAAGAATCAAAATGCAGATGCGTTTACAACGCTGAGAACTAAGATGGAATGCCTCGTTTCCAGTAAAAAGGGTTTCCGGTTCTCTACACTCAATATACGAAAAACATTACTGCATTAAACTGCTATTTTACGCTGGTATTCTGTGAGAACGTGGTCCTAGCCTGGTTGAACCGACCATTCATGCTACAATTATAAAATATAGCTATAGCATGGCTCTGAAACCAATAAAGTATCTGTTTAAGAAATATTTAAGTATTATATTTTATAGCATAAATATCTTAGAGCACTTAATCTTTTATAATCATTTAACGATAAGATTGAAGCTTGTTCGTCAAGGGGAGATCTTACGGAGCTTCTTTAGAGCACCTTTGAAAGTGTATTCACGTCAAAAGACAAAGATAGGGTTGCCAACATTTCGTACAAGGTACAAGATATAAAGTATTGTTGCGAGCTAGTGTTCGTGACTATAAAAACTGCCGATTGAATAACCAAAATTGACACTATAATTACAGAGCACCAATTAAAACTTAAATCACACTAATAATTAATCACACTTAACACTTTAGTTCACTTTATTTCGCTCCGAAAGTTTCGCTTGTATCGCCAATTCAATACTGCCCCGGTCGCGACCCAAAACGGCTTTAAATAGGCCTTTTCCACCGAAACATCCAGAATATTCCAGCAAATACCGGCCCCCCACCGACCAGGTGCAGAAAGTTCGAGTGTGGAGCTTTCTAGAAAGCTTAGTTTTTCCATTCGATACTAGATGGCGCTAGTGGGAGTTCTAGAAAGATCTTGACGCTCCTATTTCTGCTGCTTGATACCAGATGGCGCTAATAATCAGCCGCCACATACCAGGCGCTAATTATAGCGCGCAACAGTATATTAAGGTCGGAGAACTAAACTAAATAGTTTACAGGTTTTGTGTAAAAATTATACTTTTATAGCTTCTTCCATTAAAAAATATTATTATTTTAACATATTCGTAAGCCAATTTAGCTGAAAATTAAAAAGCAATAAGAAACTCATATTTTATTAAACTAATAGAAGCTCTACCTACTTCTGGTTTTGTGACTCCGGACACCTGCGATAATAAAACAGTATTTTGTATACTTTTATTTTAAATGGACTGTAAATACAGTATGATAATTATAATGTCTTCCAAACCGAATTCCAAACACTGCAGTCAGTCTCAACAGAAACTAACCTGTTGCGCAGGACAGGATTATAGTGCTCCAGTGTATGCGCAAGCACAGATGCACTCTCTATTCTCTCACTCTCATAGTACCATCGAACGGTAATTCGATATGACCAGAAAGAGATCAGGACTAACAGCTTTACGTGTTTTACGGGGCACGGGATGAAACACCGCCAACTTCCTGACTCCGAGCTGCTTCTGAAAATTTCTTAACAGAAAACCCAATAACTGACTCCGGCCCGACCCAAGATTCGAACTCGCGACCTCATTATCAGCAATCGCATTTACGACCACTAGACCAACGAGGCAATCAATTGAAAATATGATACTGTTTTTAACAATATGGTTGGCAACCCTAGACAAAGATGAAGACGGTCGATAGCACAAAACGCACTTGTGGGTCCTGGTGACGAGGTAGTGGTGGCGGCAGAGCTCGCAGTGCGAGGTGGCAGCTTGAAGCAGCCAGCGCTCGAGACAGGAGCGGTGCACGGCGGCGACGGTGCCTCGGCAGCCGCACGGCCGCGCCAGCCGCTCCCGGGACGCGCCACCGAAACAGATGCGGCAGATGCTGGCTGACTGCCAGCTGCCACTCAACTCGCAAGCCTCCTTCGTTGCACCCGACGACCCCTAATTTGTCATTTATATAAAAGAGGAAGTTGAGGTTTAAAGTTTTCGAGTAGCGGCAGCCTCGTAACGATAGGTGAAGTGTAGGGCGGTTACTAGATGGAGTGACGACCTGGTAAGAGATGCGGGAAGTCGATGAATGCAGGTTGTTCAGGGCCATGTTTTGTGGCGTTTGTTTAAGGGAGGCCTATATTCAGCAGTGGACTTGTGAAGGGCTGTAATGATGATGATGAATAATGATAATAAAAGAGAGGGCAAACGAGCAAGCAGTTCACTTAATGGTAAGAGATTCTAACTGCAACACCTAAACGTGGTAGAGCCATGGTGCAGCTATGTTATAGTTGTAGCACGAATGGGTCGGCTCGATCGGAAAAGAACCAGGCGCTCACAAAATACCAGCGTAAAATGGCAGCTTAGTACTGCTGTGTTTCGTATGGAGAATGTAGAGAACCGAGGACCCTTTTTTACTGGAATCGAGGCATTCCATCTTGGTCTTTACGAGTGACGACGTATTCTGCATTTTGATTCCTAATCGAGGATAGATGTAGACGTCTATGGGCCACAGAATCCACTTACCATCAGATGTACTGTGTGTTTGTTTGTAACCCTTATTCAATAAAGCAACCTAATGTTAAGATACCAGCGATGCTCTTGACCAATTGCAATTGTGAGGAATAGTAAGTGCGTTGCCTCCCTTTTGGTTTAAATTTATAATTAAGGATGAGGCCTAGTGTCAACTTTTAACATAACTAACGGTTTTAACATATACAAATCAAGCAAAATAACTCATCGTTGTAATCCAGAGGCATATTTGACACTTAAACGTTATGTAAAAAAGATCAATAGACGTTAGCATAGCAAAAATCTCGTACCTTAGGTGCTGAACGTATTTCCTATCTTTCCTCTCACCTGTGAGGTGGCAGAATTCAGCCAGAAAAAAAGCCGCGTCTGCGGACTGGCTGAATTCTGCCATTACTATACGGTCGTATTTCGCGGGAAAACTCGTATTTTTCTTTAGCTTTCTCAGTGCAATAAGATTCACGATCTTGTTCACTATAAACTTAGCTGTAAGATATACATTAATACTAGCAATGTCTAAACAACGTTAAAATGTGGATGACACTTTAGTATACCCTCAGATTAGTTGATTTAGAATGAAAGTTTTAAACATGGATTTGTTGAAAAAATTGTATTAAGAGCATTGGTTTTTTGTCATAGATCTGATAAAATACGTACTGTTAATATAATTAAATGCTTATTATAATTAAACATGATTTGTTTATTTTTATTTTTCACATATAAAAAATATAAAAAAAATAATGTAAATAAAAATAATTATATAATAACAGACTTAATATATTATTGCATTTGTATGATTTAAAGAAATAGGAACAGAAACTAATACCGAAGAAAAAATAGAACTGGAGATATTATAGTTTTTATAAACTTAGGGCCAAAAATAACCCGAGTCTGCGATGCGTCTGCATTCAGCCCACAGACATGACAGTTTCCATTTTGATTTCCTCACTGACGAGAGAAGGCCTTTAGTGCTGTCTCGCACGCGACGCGTCAGGGAGGCTGTCCTTTTGCGTAATATTATTGCAAAGCTGTCCACGTGTGTCTCAGCAAACATACGTGATGCGCTGCAAAAGCGTGGAAACCCCAAAAACATCCTGAATCCTTGTTATATTGAATACGTAGCGCATTGAGAGTTCGGCGAGTACACTTCGTCCACAGACTGCAGGAGCAGAATATCTGACAGTAAGCTTTGAATAATGTTATCTTAACTTCATTCGTACACCTAGCAAACCTGCAGGCAAGCATATTACACCTCACTGCGAACACTACGTTCCCGAACAAAATCTAAATCGTCAGAGAGATCCTCGGCGACCCAGATATCTAAATTTGATGACTCTACTCTTGGTAACTCCTCCAAGTCTAACATGAGGAACAGCTTTGTTTTTTTTATTTCCGGCCTTAAAAGCGAATGGTTAGCTCTTTTAAGAACTATATATGAGGCCATCTCGGGGACCCCGATCGATGGGCTGAGCAAACCATGTCTTCAGCATAGTTTACATTATTAACAAAATAACCGTCAATTGAGCAGCCGACTCCGGCATCATTGAGCTAAACGATCAGAACGTTGACGTACAGCTTGAAGAATTGAGCGGAGCTAAGACCGCCCTGCCTCCTACCGCACTCCAACCTGTACTCCGACGAATATGAGCCAGCCTACTTTACAAAGTAAATTTGGTTGTGATATCAATATTTGAAACGGTTAATCACTTCCTTGGATGTGCTAGTTTCCCGGTTAAGCTTATCCCATAAAACTTTGTATGAAACCAGGTCAAATGCCTTCGACAGGTTCAAAAAACACGCATTGACCGGCGTTTTTCGCGTATTGTAATACTGGACAGTACGCTTGAGTCGCAGCGGTTTTAGTTGAAAGCCCCGTCCTGAAAGCAAATTGAGCCTCATGTATGTTGGCTCATGTATGTGTGTTGGCTGAGTTGCTGGTGATGCAAACCGTCCAACACCTCTGCATTTATAGTAGCCAAAGATATTGGGCGATAATTGGACCCAACGGAGGCATCACTACTCTTATTTTTTAATATTGGTATTACTACGGTTTTCAAAAGATCTCTAAGTTAGTACTCATGTTCTAGACATAGGTTAAATAACAGAGTTAACACCCTCGGCAAATGCACAACCGCATAAGGTCATCGTGACCAACCCTAGTCTACCCACTTATTACACAAGCTAGATATATGGTGTTAATGGAAGACTTCAACGAAAAACTAGACACAAGAGAGAAAGGTGAGCTGAAAGTTGAGCTCGGAATAGGGTAACGAAACTTAAGGGGCCAGCAACTGGCCGACTTTATCCACTTTCTTGTTTTTTCTTAGTCCTCACGGGTGACAACGCATTTTAATTCATAATCGAGGATAGATGTCTATGGGCCGCAGCAACCACTTATTATCATGTGGACTGTGTACTCGTTGGTTCCCCATATCCTATAAATACTAATACAAATGCACCACCTGTTATTTGTTTACCAGCGCGTCAATACGTGCATTGCATTGCGCAACAGGACACAAAGAAAGGAATTTTGAACCGCATTGTTACCTGCGACGAAAAATGGATGCCGTTTGACAATCGCAAGCGCTCAACAAGTTGGTTAAATCCTGGTTCAAGCATCTAAACGATTCCCTAAGCGAAAACTTACCCCTAGCAAAGTGATGGTCATTGTTTGGTGGTCTAACGCCGGTGTGATTGATCACAGCTTCTTACCAAATGGGACGAGCATTGGTATGAAAAACTGAACACAATGATGGAGAAGCTCGTGCGTCTCCAACCAGCTTTCGTCAATCGCTCGTCCCCGCCGGTTCTGCACGAAAACGCGCAACCTCTTACTGCACAACAGAAGGTTTCGAAGTTAAAAGAGCTGGGATTGGAAGCTTTCAGTCATCCGCCGTACTCACCAGACCTTGCACCTACAGACTTCTACTTTTTCCAGAATTTGGATAACTTTTTGGCGGGAAAAAAATCAATACCTGAGAATCGGTACAAAATGACTTTGAAGAGTTTGTTGCCTCCCGTCCAGCTGATTTCTTTAAGAAACTGCCACTGCGTTGGCAAATATGCATCGATTGCATGGGTGATTAATTTAATTAGAAGAAATAAAAAATATAAAAAAAATTACGTTAAATTACTTTATAAAATACGAAAATTTCTATTGGCGGTAAATTTTTAATTAGTTCTTTACCTATGTAACCTATGTACCTAATTAAAATTTTACCACTGTTATGTTCATGCCGTTCATGACGTACCTGTTTCCTGAGTAGAAGCGCACAGACCGATCCCAAGATGGAGACGGAGCGCCCAGCTGACTGCAGGGGCGGTGATGCTGCTGACGAGAAAGTCAGTGAATCTGCAATGCGCTCGCGCAACGCTCGCTGCTCATCCACTTCTGCCATCAACACTGCAATTTATTTTTAATTTAAGTTTATTTATACAGTAAAAGTGACAAACGAACACACAGTCCTCGATGCACCGACCAGATACCACTTAATGGCACGTGGATACTGTGGTTCATAGACGTCTACGTTTATCGTCGAGTAACGTAACTGAGAACTAAGATAAAATGCCTCGTTTCCAGTAAAAAAGGGTCTCGGGTTTTCTACATTCACCATACGAAACAGCAGCATTAAGCTCCTATTTTACGTTGGTAAATATCAAGTTATTCTTAAGTATCATACTCAAAAAATAATTTAGTATATCATCTTTTGTTTTCACATCTTAAAATGCATTTTTAGGTTTTGGAACTTCATTTGCTTATTTCCGCGAAATCAAATAAAGTGATGCGTCCTGCCTAATTTGAAGAACACCTCCCACCTTCTTTCAATTGCATGCGCTATCCCTGTCACCACCAATCCCAGTACCTCAACTCCCAACACCAACACTCCCACTGGCAGGTGATCAAAGACCACCATTACCACCACCACAGAGTCTAATTCACCTGAGAATGCCTCATGTGGAGGCGAAACACGTATCGTATTATCGGGGATGATGTGTCGTTCCTAGTATGGTGGTGCTGGGAGTGGTGGTGCTGGGATTAGTGGTGACGGGTATAGTACACGCAATCAAAAGAAGCTGGGAGATGCTGTTCAAACTGGGCAGGATATATCACTTTATTTCATTACGCGGAAATAAGCAATTTAAGTTCTAACAACTTCGACATAATGAATTTCCGCAAAGTAACGCCTGATTCCATTATCATAAAATGTAGTCAACGACTTCAAGATCGCACAACTCGATCTCTCCCACCTGACTAAAACCTATAATCTTAGGTATACTGATAATGTGAAAACTATTAAATAGTCTAGTGGTGGTAAACGCGACGGATCGGGTTTTTTAACAAGAAATTCTCAATAGCAGCCTTGAGTCAGGAAGGTCGCGGTGTCACAACCCCATGCCTCGGAAAGCACATAAAGCTGTTGGTTCTGCACCTGATCTCTCTCCTATCTTGTTGAATTACGGATCAATCGGAATATGTGAGTGAGGAAATAAAAAGTACACCTGCACTTGCACATACACTCTGGCACTATACTAATGTCCTGTGCAGTAACTATTTTTATATCCATTAAGACTGGCGGCCGTCGCCGAAATTCGGTCTGAAAGATGTTCTGATAATATGTAAAATTTGCAATTTATATTATATCCAATAAATATACCGCCATTTATCGGACGCTGGAGCCTCGGTAGTTAGCAGGATACATCGCGTACGAGAAATGTAGCATTTAGATAAGTTTTTAAATCGCCTCTAGCTTAAAATGGTGTCATTTTTTAATACTAATATAAAAACCTGGTGAAGAAAAACCGGAAAACTGACAACTGATGTCAGTTTGTTGTCCCGTTGACCGGAGCTCGATCTGATTGATATGTGATTCGGACTGAAAAGGAGAACTAATTATATTATATAATACTTATATTAGGTACCTAATAAGGACTACAGTATTTAATTTTTTTTAATTTAACTAAACACGAAACGTTCGATGTAGTACGTACTGGCATATAGAGCGAAGCGTTGCTTGAAGCAGACATGATCGTTATTCTGCTATCGGAGCTGCCGTTACCCCAGAAAATTAGGCGAGTTTGTCCTTCGCTGGCATTACACTCCTGGTAATAGAAAATACAGCATATTTATAAAAATTAAAACTAGTACCTATTGTATCTTTAGCGACAAAAGCGTTACTACGTTTTGATTCAAACTAATAATTTAGTATAAATGCCTGCAATTTTAAGCGTCGGTTATACACGTGCTTTCGATGTGAACACATCGTGGAGTATTCTACATAATAAGTAATATATAGATATCTGATATCCGACATCATAACCCTGTTAGGAAGGAGATGAGGCATATGCTCAGTCATCATGCGGATGTAGTCTGTTACTTTTTAACACTTCACATAATACCCTAATTAAACTGATAAAACTGGATCTTCTGTGGAACTGAAAATTGATGTTTTGCAGAGCTTGCTGAACGGTTGGTTTATATGCTGGTGGAGCTAGAATTGCACGTCTCAAATTTTGTATAACATCCTTTGGAAATGTTAAAGTGTCGTCACTTTCGATAAATTGATTTAAAATAGCAACTTTTTTCATTTTTCTGTGGCACAGTCATTTTGTAGAATGAATGATATTATACATTAAATTTAAAAGACTTCAAAAAGTCGAAAAATTTTGATTTCAATTATTTATAAATTCATTTGACGCATAGCTGAAACTTCAGACGACAGGATTGTCATTGGCAGTAAGAGTAATCTCCTATTTTTAAAGTAAATTTCGGATGACATGCTTAAATTTATTCTAATTATTGTTACTTAATAATATTAAGTACCCGGATGACCGAGCTGTGCTCGGTTTTTATTTTGAAATTACATTTAGATACAAATTACATACTGATGAATGATATTTTTTGATCTTATTGACATAATAGAAAAAACTGAACTGGTTATTTGAATAAAAAATCATGAGTGCAATTAGTTTAATTAAAATTTTCGTATTTTAAAAAAATACTAAAAAAGGACTCGAAATATTAGATTTTCTCACAAAAGAAGGTAACTTTAAAAAAAAAAGAAAATGTCGGACCAAAGACGGGACGCGAACCAAGGCATTAAGATTTCGCCGCAGCTCGACATCCACTTGAGCTATAATGATCATTAACACAGTGTCAAAATTTACCTTCTTATATTGTAGCCGTTTTTCATTGCCTGAAAATACGGACAAAAAACATTGTCTAAAAATAAATCCTAGCTAGGAATCGATTTATTGCCCCCGAAACTCCCTGGACACTAAATTTTATGAAAATCGTTGGAGCCGTTTTCGAGATTACGATTATATATTATATATACAAGAATTGCTCGTATAAAGGTATAGGATTATCTATTCAAAATGTTGTCAAAATTTATGTAGGTACAAATACTTCATTTAAATTTGTTAAAATTTGAATTATATTTTGTCCCCGTGCAAAAAGAGAAGCACTGGAGTTTCATCAAAGTAACTTTTTTGTTGTGGTGATGTGACAGCTGTTATCATTCTAACAATGATCATACGCACTGAAAAACTACCGTAGCATTAATCACACTACTAATTATTCTGAACTAGGTACTTGAGAGCATGGAAAATATAGAAGCTCCGAACTAATACAAGGAGCATGATTTGTTCTAAGGAGGAAATCTTGACCCATGCCCAGTGGGAAATCTTCTCTCTTTAAGGCATGTCGATCTAAAATCGATTAATCGAAAAATCGATTCTTTGGAATAAAATTATCGATTTTTAGATCGATTCAAAGCACCGCATCGATTCACTGAATCGATCCAAAAACCTCTTGAATCGGACTGATTCATTTGATTCAAGAACTAGCTAAAATTCCCAAACTGATTGGCAAAAAATTAAAAAACTGTGGTAAGATACCACAGTTTTTTAATTTTTTGCTGTTGGGGGACGCAAAAACAACCGGTCGTACTTGGTTGATAATTTGAACGCAATATATATTTGAATAAAATAAATGTTTATGAACGCATCCAACAATATCGAAAAGTTGTCATTTCATTTTCATTTCTAAAATTCTTAAGCCCACTTTCCACTAAGGGATATAATGTAATTTATATTATTTTTTGGAGTTTTTCAACTTAATTTTTCCAAGTTGTACATTATAAAATAAGAATATTAAATTTAAGTTACAAAAATTATAATAAAGAACTTAACTAAAATAAAAATTAAAATTATAATATTTACGATTAAAACTAATTATATACAATATAAAAGAAGAAACTATAATATAGAAAATCTAAAACTAAAAATTTAAATCGTCAAAAAGACCTGCTCCCCGTGGTATAGTGCCAAGAACGCTGGCTGCATTTCCTCGCTGAATAGCTATACTTAGCCTTTGAGCGAGGAAAGAACCAGCCCTCTTGTCACCAGCAGCGACGACCAGTCGTGGATACAGTTCCTTTAGAAATTTCATTGCACGTGGACCCCACGGACCGATAGTCTTTAAAGCAAATGGCACAAATTAATCTAGTGATTTCTCAAAGATTCATATTTGCGCCATTTACTGAATTCGGCTGCCTCTGATGCCGCCCCGGCTCTAAAAGAGGTAACCGTGAGATGAGAGGCCGCCAGAGTGTCGCGCAAACAGCATCCCACACTAGGGCTTTACCTCTCTCCCAAGGGACCAAAGTCATACCGTCGAGTCTCTTGCCATCGTCTCTAAATATCCCGCAAGGCTCTAAAACCGAGGGGATATTTATAGAGACAAGAGCCCTTCGGATGATTTCGTTCAAAGAACCGTGACGGGAAAACCTACCTGCACTTTTCTTGCATGAAAGTCCGTGGAGCCCAAACTCACCGACGCTGCTACCACAGGGACACTGGTGAGGTTGACAAATAGCCACTCCTAGCCGGATTCCTACGGCGATGCGCAAGCTTTCCCCATCAAGCAATGTGCCGAGATTACTTGATGGTAGAGCATGTAACCAGTGGCTAGATTCCTTAGTCGAAACAGCTAGAAGACGAGCCTGATCTTGTTGAATATGGAAATTTTGAAATAAATTTTTCTGGACACTCCGTACCAACGGAATATCCCACTGTTTTTGTTGGTTAACTTCGAGTGGGACATTTTCGCCGGGACAGAGCGTTAGCCATGTTTGCTTTGCCTCCGCAGCAAAGCACAGGTCTACTTTATTATTTAAAATTGTGTTACATAGGTCATTGACACTATGCACGGAAGCAAGGAAAGCAGGCAATGCGACGTTAGAAATATTTCTTACACCAATTCCACCAAATTGGATAGGTAAAGTGGCTTGATTCCAGGCTATTGTATTTAATCTCAAATTTAGAATGTTTTCTAAAGCAATTTTAAGATTACTATCAATATCTTTTAAAATATCCGAACATTTCCAAACTGGACTTGAGCGTAACAAGTATGTAAATTTAGGTACAAGGAAACAATATTTTAAAATGGTAAGGGCAATATGGGGGTTTAAAATATATAATTTATCAACGTGATTTAAAAATTGATCAAATTTTGTTTTTAAAACAAGTTTAATACTATCGAAAAACAATGGAGCACCAAGCAGGTAAAGTGATTCCGAATTGACAGTTTTTATTCCTGGAGAAATCTGATTGAAATTTTGAATTAAGTTATCTCTGTTAGAATTAGATAAATTATTAGAAATAAATATTTCACATTTATTTGTATTTGGTTCAAGACCAATATTTTTAAAATTTTGAAAAATATGAGTAAGATCACCGAGGGCGTCATCTGCTTTACCTCCCAGTGTACCGTCGTCCAGATACCATACATTCAGCTTGGATTTTAAATTTGAAATAATAGGTTGAATTCCCAAACTGAAAAGAGCTGGACCTAATGGATCACCCTGTTGAACACCGACAGCAGACTCAATAATGTGGTTTTGATAAAACAAGTTTGAATTTTGACTGTAACATTGCCAAACGTAATGATATATTTCGGGGGTATTGTTAGACACTTCTTTCAGCAGGGTTATCCTATCAATAGAGTTAAAAGCATTTCTAAGATCAACCTTCAGAAGAACATCTGTATTGCAATTAGTTAAGAAAGTACGCACCGAATGTACCGCCGCCTCACAACCCCCTTTGGTGCCAAAGCCTAGTTGAGTAGGTTGAAATTTTGTCTTAAGGTTTGAGATTATGTGCCTGCAAACTAATTTTGAAGTTAAACGTCGAAATGTAGAACCAACAGCAATAGGACGGATACCGTTATCCTTTTTTTTTTTTTTTTTGAAGGCACACAATCTTACCCCATATAAGTAGGGAATGAAATTGGGATTGACATTACCAGAAAGCATAAAATTACATAATTTTGTTATGTCATTAAGAAGTCCAGCGTACCGGCGTCACCGGCAGATACGCTTACAAGGTCTTTGAGATGCTGAGGCGTAATCCCGTCAATGCCGCCGGCAGAGCCATTCGAAAATGACAATATTGCGTCTAAAGTGTCTTTTTCGGAAACTTGTAATGGTTGCATAGAAGTATTGGGAGGCAGCGGTAAATTCTGGGAAGGATTGACCGAAGGATGTTTCTGACGAAGGCCTTCAAGAGTTTCGACATTACGAGGAGCGAGGATGTCATCTGAGAATAAAATACGGGATGCATTTTTTAAGTCGCCGTCCATTACTTTTGATTCAACTACTTTTTTAAAATCAAATTTAGGTTAAGGTCGAGAGAAATGAGTATTAATCGGGTAATTCAAATTTTGAAAAGAATTTTCTTTTAGTTGAGACGTAATTGATTTATTTATTGTTTTACTAAAATGAAAGTGGGAATACGCGAATATAAATAATTTTTGCCAACTTTTTTTCACAATTCGTTAGAACAATTTTGAATAGTTAATGATAATGCTTTAGCAAGTTGCATCCTCTGGGAATTCTTTTAACCACTGGTACGTTACTATACAAATTGTATAATTGTTTACATCTCCAGATATAAATTAATATCGCTCACCGTACTTTTAAATGGAACCGTTTCCACTGAGATGTAATGTATATTACATCCCAAACCATAAATATTTTTTCGATCGACCGAGCGATATTTTCATATTATATTTCACCTCCTGTACTATAATATAATATTATAGCTGTGAACCTGTTTGAACTGTGAACTTGTGAATTTATATTATTTATTATCAAAAATATACATACTGTGAGCTGTAAGTACAGACAGAGTACTTTTTAAATACCTAGATACTGTAAATAAATATTATACCGTACGTCGAAGTTTATAGAGGTTTATAGTAAGGAAATAACCAGTATTGTGTTCGTGTAGCATTCATTTAAATATGATAAATAGTGAGTTATTAGATTGAAACAGATTTAACGAGCAATCATGCAGTTTGCACTTTTGTTAAAGTGTTGTTTTTGTTAGCCTAAAATGTCAAATAAAAGTGTTACGTGGAATCACTTTGTAAAAAAAGGGATCGAGTGGAGTATGTGCGAACCACTCCTAACACAAGCGTTTCAAGCTTACCAGGAGTGGTTAAAAGGAATATTAGTAATGTTAATCAATAAGATTACTAATATTTTATTTTAAAAAAATATTACAGTTTAGAAGTTAAAGAAAAAAAATAGAAAATTCTTGAAATTTAATGTTTGGAAATGTCGCGATTAATCGAAAATCGATCTTTTAATCGTCGATTTAATCGAAAATCGATTCAAGTAGCTTCGATTCAAATCGATTCGGAGATCGATTTTTTCGAGTGAATTGACATGCCTACTCTCTTTAATTGACGACCAAAATATATATATATATATATTATCAAATAGTTTTATAAATAAACAACTTATTATATATAATATTATTATATATATATATATATATATATATATCTTAAAAATTTGTTACTAATCTTAATAGCATATATACCAACATGTTTCGCTGTATATTACTGAGTTTTGATAAACAATAAAATTCAATAGGGTTGTCGAGTTCCTTGTCTCTAATACTTATCGATGTTCTTTCCCCTATATCTGCTAACAAACAAAGTCGTCAACAGCAGATGATTATCAAATGTTTATTAATTAACAGTTTTCCAACTGAACCTAGACTAAAATTATGGCTTAAAAGCATAAATATTGTGAATTGGCGTCCGAAACATTTCTGAACATTTCACAGACAACTGTTTTATTAGACATGAGAACTGCACCACTTTGAAAAAGTGCAGTATTCCGACAATATTTTCTGGAAGTACCAGTACCAGTAAGTATAAAAGTATTAGATTATTATTTCGAATGTTTTTTTTATATCTTCTTTCCTCATTTTCCCTCAAACTCAATCGGCTCGGGGATTCCGTAGTGCATGTGGAGTCAGACCGCGAAGGGCAGTGTGTCTTGTATTTCTGGTGCGCCTTATCTGAGAAGGAAAACGGGGGAGGGGGGAGAAGTCAGCAACTAAGAAGGGGCTGCCATAGTGAAACATACACACGCGCCCTGGTGTGCATGAAAGCGTTTCCGTGGCCCTGTCAATTTGCGGCGGAGATAGAACACCATGGGGGTTTAGTAAGTGCGAGTCTAGAGATTTAATTCTCTCTCGAGTCTCAAGATTTAATTTGTTCTTTAACTTCGTAGTGGCCCTACTTTAGTTTATTTCTTATTTACAAATTCTGGCTATCGTTTACATTCACGGTTTTTGGCAGCTTCCTCTTGCGCAACATCCAACGTCAAAGGCAATTAATTGTTGGATCAAGAACCCATGGATTGCGATTACCAAAACTGGAAAGCTTAGGAAAATAAACTTAGGAATGAGAATATCGCCAGTAGAACCAGAGTGACTGACATCGCCCAACGGGTTAGTATGCTGAAGTGGCAATTGACCGGCTATATAACTCGAAGAACCGATAACCGATGGGGAAAAAAGATTCTCGAGTGGTAGCCTCGTACCGGTAGGCGAAGTGTCGGAAGTTCCCTCACTAGATGGAGTGAAAACCTGGTAAGACATACAGGAAGTTGATGGATGCACGTGGCTCAGGACCGTGCTTTGTGGCATTCTTTGGGGGAGGCCTATGTTCAGCAGTGGACTTGTGAAGGGCTTTAATGATGATGAATGATAGTGGCATTATATTAATATGATATATAAATAGAATGGACGTTACGGGTAGAGTCCATCTATCCATAGAGTCTATTCTATTTATTTAGGTATAGGTAGGGTATAGAATTTTTATCGATATATTTTGTCACACTGTCTTATCCCTATTATTAGTTCCGTGGACGTGCACTTCTGTTTTCAGCGCCAAAATGGCGCAAATCATATTGCCTCATCATATCACGGTCTATAGCCAGTCCAGCGTACTTGTATATATAGAGGTCAGTGACCAAGCAGCATTCTTATTAAGTGTACTATTATGAAAGATTAAGTACTCTATTCAATTTATATTATAAAATTTGTACAACGTATGGCTACAATGGTAACTTTAATTTAACACACGGGTAGGGCTAGTGACCATTAATCATATTCATTTTGATAAGTTAAAATTACTAGTAAATTGAAAAATTATTTTTTTCAAACAAACTAAATATTAAAAATGTAATTAAAATTGAGATCACCCTTGCGAAAATTCATTGATGAAAATACTTACCTAGCTGGTTTACGTTAACTCGAAGCGGCAACGCAGCGTTTAGCGGGCTGGCAACCGCGCAAAGTGTCTTGTTTATCAAAGAAACTTAGCGGCATTGGCGCGCGTCGTAAGTGGTACCTACAGCGGAGATGCTTAGTCAAACACGTATCATATCACACTCTCGTGTTACTATTTGTTAACTGTCATCACTAATCACTGCTTTAATTTGTCTTTATTTTAAATTTTCTTGTTTTCAATAAGACCACCTTGTTGGCAGATACAAATAATTAAACGGCGTTTCATGTTTTCTTGCACATTTGAAAATAAATTGTCACTTATAGCCATTTCCCCCAATTTCTCAAACGCATTTATTATTCGATGGCGTAATTGTTCCACCGAATCCACTTTCTCCGCGTATACATCCTTTTTGATGCACCCCCAGAAAAAAAAATCGAGTGGCGTGAGGTCTGGCGATCTTGCTGGCCACCTACGAGGTTCAAATCTATTAATCCATTGTGCACCAAACGTGTCATTCAGCCACTGCCTGGCTGTTGTTACAGAGTTTGCAGGCGCGCCACATTCGTTGGTATCGATGGACGTTTAGATTGTTTGTGTATTCTGACACCGTATTATTTAATAGATTAACAAACCTTTCGCCGTTCAAAGCCCCATCAATGAATACGGGTCCATGATGTTGTCACTATGAATAGCTGCCCAAACATTTTCCGAAAACCTGTACTGATGGGCTGACTCTCGCCAAACGCGCGGATTTTGGTTTTTGGGTGCCCAATGGTGCAGACTGTGCTGGTTCCACATGCCGTTTCTGGTGAACGTACTTTTGTCAGTCCAACAAATTCGGGAAAGAAAGTCACTGACATTCTCGGTAAATTAGGATCATGTTCGCATATTCAGCTGCTCTGTGGTTCGGATGTGTATTTGCCATCACGATCACAGGATTACACAAGCACTAATAACACAATAAAAGCGTCCGTATCGCAAGAGATGTTAAAGTACCAACTAGATTAGAAAAAAAAACAAAACAAAGCGTTCTTATCTCAATACCATAATCTAATTACATAAAAATTAATAAATAAAACAATAGGTAAGCGTCTTTTTCGCGGAATTATTCACTAAAATATTAGTCGACCTTATTATGCGTACTGCTATGAACAAGTGTGTCAAGAACACGGGTTCAGCTAGTACTAGAAAAGCAAAAAAAAAAAGAATTCGATATCAGTACTACATATAAAATGTGCCTACATATTGAAGATTTGTAACCCCTGGTTAAACGACCGAAAGCTCATGGTCCGTTTTTCTCAATCAATTTGGCACGATGAAACAAGTGAGTCGATGGTAATATAAGCTTTGAGTTATTTTGTCCACTTAGAAATCTTAAGATACTATCATCGTCTGTCTTCTTGGAGCTGTCGACAAAATCTCCCTAAACTATGCAACGTAGGAAAATTTTGAGAACAAAATACGCCAGGTAAGGTTGTATGGATATATATCCCTACGCCTATAATAATTAAAAAATTACAATGACAACAAATTTGTCAAAGTGACGTTAAAACGACAGGCGGCTGTGGTGTTTGTAGGTATAAAAAGTTAGCCCTCCTCCACGTGAAGATAAAAATACCTTGCGTAATTCTTCAATAGTTATCAATAACCACTAAGAAACGAAATAAACATGGCAGTTCGCGTTCAATTTGAAAATAATAATGAAGTGGGAGTTTTCAGTAAATTAACAAATTCGTATTGTATGGTTGCCATCGGCGGCTCAGAAAATTTCTACAGCGTGTTTGAAGCAGAATTGGCGGAAGCTATTCCTGTTGTGCATGTTAGTATTGCGGGATGCCGCATCATTGGCCGGATGACTGTTGCCAATAAAAACGGTTTGCTCGTGCCATCCTCCACTACAGACACAGAATTACAACATATACGCAACAGTTTACCAGATAACGTTAAAGTGCAGCGAGTCGAGGAAAGACTCAGCGCCCTCGGCAACGTCATAGCATGTAACGATTATGTGGCATTAGTACACCCAGATCTTGACCGTGACACTGAAGAAATTCTAGCCGACACGCTCAATGTGGAAGTATTCAGACAAACCGTCGCCGGAAACGTCCTTGTCGGCTCATACATAGCGCTCACTAACCGAGGAGGTCTAGTTCACCCTAAAACCACAATACAAGACCAAGACGAGTTATCTTCCTTATTACAAGTGCCTCTTGTAGCTGGCACTGTAAACAGAGGTAGTGAAGTTGTTGCAGCAGGAATGGTAGTCAATGACTGGAGTGCCTTCTGTGGTATGGACACCACCTCAACAGAAATATCAGTAATTGAAAGTGTTTTCAAACTGAATGATGCTAAACCAACGGCCATCACATCCACAATGCGTGCTTCACTCATCGACAGTATGTCATAACAATAGACTGTTGCTCTCCTTGGTGGGGAATGTTGCATAAAATTTTATGTGATATTTTGTTTGATAAGCACCTTAATTCTAACATTTCTGTTGATCGGGTAAAATGGTCAGGTAAAACTTTGACCTGTGTTTGTATGAATAAGTAAACAAATGTAAATTTAATTTGTTTTTTATTTTTTTTTAATTATATGTAACTAAGGGTAATAGTGTTTATTACACTGTCTAATAATATTGTGCAATATTTACTTTTTGCAAAGTTATGCAATATATTACATAGTCCTTATACTTACTCAAACAATATTGTTTAACTTTCATTTTCTGAGTAATTATTATTATTATCATATCAATGAGAATTTAAACTAGCTGTTTCCTGACTTCTTCTGTATGTAATTTAGGGTTAAATTTTTTTTGCAGAGCTATCTTTTTCTAAAACAAAAGCAGCCTAAATTACTCCTTATTATATCAGCTATCTGCCAGTGAGTCTCATCAAAATCAGTACAGCCGTTTCGGAGATTAACCGGAACACACACAGACAAATATTTAGAAAATTGTGTTTTTATTAAATGTGTTTTTATTTTATTAAATACTGTATATACCTTCATATGCATATAGTAAAAAGCTATTATTTGGACATTACACATAGACAATTAAATTTTATTTATTTGTATAGATAATGTAAGCTACATATACATCACTTCCATAAAATTTAAGTTTTCTTCTCATTTGACTACTATACTATTATTATATGGCTAACTGATACACAGAATTTTTATTCTTTTCTTTTGATCATGTTTTTGTTTTGATGTACAAATATATATTAGTGATCTATAGCATATAATAAAGGGTTATCCAATTGGCTTTTTGCAATTTTCACAGATTTGATTTTTAATTTTTTCATTTGCAAACGATCAATACAAATGAGTAAAATTGAGGTTTAATTAAATATTTCAAACTAAGATAGAATACAAGATCTGAATTTTGACAACATGAATATGTTGTGTATTGTGCCTCATTGCACACAATATCCTGTTAAAGTGTCCCAGTTTATTGCAAAAGTTTGTGTAAAAGAGGTGAAGTGCTAATAATCTTCAGCTCACCGCAGATAGATGGTCACACAATATCATAGAAAAGTTGCATTTTAATTATGAGTTTTTCAGTTTCTAGTCTTATTGTATATATATATATATATATATATATATATATATATATATATATATATATATATATACACAAAACAATCTGTGTGTATTCTTGTGTTCTGTATTCTTTGATTCTTCACACATTTTAAACATTTTTTATTCTTCTACTTTTAAGAATATCTGTAGGTTTGTTTAACTTTATCATTTCTACAAACATACATACATAAACACTCACGCCTGTCACCCAGAGGGGTAGGCAGAGACTACGACTAGACTAGTAGACTGCTAGAGAGGTGTACCAGGATTGTGCTCCTGACATTCCTCTCTCGCCTATATCCATATACCTACGCATACATGCTCATCGGTTAAGAGTACTCTTAATCTGACCCATCCTCAATATGTAACAATAAGCTAATTAATATAAAATGTAGCTAATATTTACCGAAAGAAACAATCTCTACACTTTTCTAACAAATTAAGTTCCACTGCTATAAAATCTGTCAAATATTTCACCTTATCACTAAATTGCGCTGCTCTGGAGTCAGAATAAATTGTGGATACCGTCATAGCTGTACATAGCCACGATGATTTACTATCAACTTGGGTAACACCACTAGTTAGCTGTAGTTGTTGTGTATGTCCCACACAGTTGATAGTGATCCTCATAGTATTTAGTAGCATTCAAAAGTTCTTTCAAGTAATGTAGTTACAAATTCATACATCATTACCATAATCATCATTATGGTCGCTCACAAGTGAAAACAGGCTTCGCTTGAACATTCAAGGATCCGACTTGATCCAAGCTACAAGTACGTGAATCTGTCCAGAAAAATCGATGAGAAATTTTTAATCTGCTATTCTTTTCAACAGCTGCAGATAACCGCGAACCTTATAAGACCGCTTACAACTCAAGCTTCGGAAGAAATAGGCTTTAAAGGTGCCACTTGTCTTTGCTGCGAGCAATGTGACCTGCCTTTTTTCATCATCGCCCTTAGTGTTGAACATAGGCCTCTCTAAAGAATGTCACAAGGCACAGTCTTAAGCCACCTGCATCTATCGACTTTCGGTATGTCTTACCGGGTCGTCACACCATCTAGTGGGGGGCAGCTCCACACTTCGCCTACTGCTACAAGGCTGCCACCCGAGAACCTTGCTTTCCCATAGGTTGTCGGTTCTTCGAGCTATATGGCCGGCCCATTGCCACTTTAGCTTACTAGTCGGTTGGGCTATGTGAGTTATTTGGGTCTACTGCTGATATCCTCACACAAAGAAATGTTAAAAAATAATGAATAATTTTAAATAGCTAATTATATAATACAAGTTAGATATAAGTATACTAAAATCGGTAAATTAAATTTGGCCGGAAGAACAGAAAAACAAAGATACCCTTCATCATAACTGTTGCATTTAAAAAAAGGAACTAGAAGTATTATTAAGACTACTAATATTCCTGTTAACCAACCTAATTAAGCTTAAAATATTTTTGATTTTTGTTGATTTATCATAAGCCACAGTGCTTGACCAATTACGTGGTGGTGTGTGAAAGTTGTGATGAAGCCCCAAATGGTAAGTCGCACTGACTTAGCGTAACAAAAGCCTATTCACTCTTGTCTTAAAGATGTAGCCCAGATTGTATGTAGACGGAAAGACAGGCGCCGATAAATTATTCCACTCCTTGCTGTGCGCATTACGAAAGACGAAGCAAACCGTTTGGTACGAGTGCGTAGAATATCGACAGCAAAAGTGTGAAGAACCTCCGAACTGCCTGGTAGTCCGATGGTGGAAAGGGATGGAGGAATTAAAGCATGTAATTCCTATGGAATACCGAGAGGCTGGCTGCAATGCGCCTGTGCTCTAGGCTGACGAATTTGGTTTCAACCAAATCAAGATTACCATTAAGCCTTTTAGCATAAGCATGTCTCCCCACCGATTCCAACCCTGCTAGGTGGCGTTTTGCAGCACCAGCTCATATGTGACATATGTACTCCATGCACCTGAAGTCGTTCGGAGTACCCAAAACACCATTTTGGGCGCTGCCAAAATACGGCTCTAGTTGAGTTCGAGATAACCCCAAACAAAAAAAACAAAAATGGAAAAAAAGGAAGGGTAACAAATATTTCGATACGAAATATTTATGTAGGTGACTGCATCGTTGGTCCTGTACTTGATAAACACAACTGCTGATCATGAGATCCCGAGTGCGAGTCCCGAGTGGGGCCAAAAAATAGCAGCTGTTGAGATTTTACGTCAAGAAATACTTAGTAGCTGGAAGGAAGTTGGCGATCTCCCACCCCCGTTCCTCGAAAAGCACGTAAAGCCTGATCTCTCTCCGGTCGTGTCGCTTTACCGTCCCATCGGACTACAAGCGTGGAAGAACAGAGAGTGCATCTGTGCTTGGCTTACGCCGATAGCTAGTCTCCCTTGAGACTCGTCGCCGTGACCAAAATTCGGTCTGAAGGACGTTATTATGTAGGCAACACATTTTGGCGCGTTCCTTACTGCAGATGAAGTCCATGTCCGGTCGAGAACTACTTCATTCATTAATTAATTTATGAATTATGTAATGTTTGTAAATACAGCAATATTAACCTGCCAATTTTTTAAATAGCAGCTAGTACTGCTGTTTCGTATCGTGAGTTTTTACTAGAAACGAGGCATCCGATCGAAGTCCTCAGCGGCGACAACGCATTTGCATTTTGATATTTGATCGAGGATAAAATGTAGACGCCTATGGACCACACCACCCACTTACAATCAGGTGGAATGTGTGCTCATTTTGTCACCCTATCACAGTCTAATCGTAGGTGGTCTGTGCCCTTATTCAATAAAAAATGTGTCTCGTTCTTTACTGTGGAACATTGAAGTATAATCTACTTACGTACATAGTACCTACATATTACTTAAATGCTGTGAAAGAGGTCTTTGTTCAGCCAAGATCTCTCATTCATTCGTGAGTTACGTTATTTATGTCAATTCTTTATTCTAGGAGAGGTCAATGCACAGCCGATGACGCATTCATTCATAATATTATGTAATTTATATCACATTCTTTACTATGAGAGAGGTCGATATCCAACGAGAACTACAGGCTGACAATTATTATGTAAGCTTTGTTTGCGTTGCACACACCCACTCAAAAGCAGTCTTAATGCCCAAGGGCATTTGTCGTGTATGCCTTATTTCTCATAGTACTGTATTTTGTTCCAATGTTACACAACATTATGGCACTACGATTGCACCTGCTACAGAAATATCGATTTTCCAACTACGATTCTTGAAATCCCATGACTCATCACTTCAAAGCATCGGACTCGTCACTGAACAAATATTTCTTCCTCAATCGTTAAGTTAAGCCTCTTAAAAATTGAGAAATTCGTAGAAACTGTTTAAAATTATAATGGATAAGTTGTTCAAATTAAAAACAAGACTTCGTCGTTGCACTAAAATAATTAAATATTATAATTCTCTCATCACCAGTAGCGACGACCAGTTGCGAATACAGATCTTTTAGGAACTTCACTGCACGTGGACCCAACGGACCGATAGTATTTACAGCAAATGGCACAAATATGTAGTCATCTATTAGATACACAAAAATATTATTTGTATGGATTGTGTATTTAGGTGATAAATTTCACAAAAAAAAAATTAATCCAGAATCTTGCTCTCGCAACTGGCAGATAGACTACGAATATCGACGTGCGATGTGGCCATACAAAATCCATTTCGTCCTTGGATGTTATAATAAGAATGAAATATTAATTAATATCACAATAATAAGATTTGCGACTGCTGTGGCGAATATGTGCAGTAATGTTTGGATTATAACGCTAGTGGCGCAAAAGTGAACGGCAGAGTTGG